AGTGTTATGAACTTTTTGGTTATTAACTGAAGCAGCCCTTGTTTTTCCAGACTTCTGCATTTCCCAGGATTGGGTTGTGTGGGAATTGTCTTTGTTTTAAAACCCCTCTTTAAAAAGCTGCAACAGTTCATACAGAAGCTGTATGCAATATAGCAATGATGCCCCATCCTTTCCTTGTATCTTTTCCAACAGCATAATGCATTTTATATCTCAAACCAACATAGGTGAAATATCAAATGGTATGTAATAAATCAGGGCTGGGGAACGATGGCCCCTTTATGATTTTGTGGACTTCAATTCCCAGAATTCCTGAGCCAGCCATATGGGCTGAGGAATTCTGGGTGTTGAAGTCTACAGGACATAACAGCCTTGGTAGTACAGTGGTCTAAAGCACCCTGTTATTGAGACCAGCTGCCTGCAATTACTGCAGGTTCGAATCTCGCCAGGTTTAAGGTTGACAGCCTTCCATCCTTTCTAAGGTAGATAAATTGAGGACCCAGTTATGGGGGCAATAAGCTGACTTTGTATAAAATATACAAAAGGATGAAGGCTATTGCTTAGCACATTGTAAACCGCCCTGAGTCTCCGGAGAAGGGCGGCATATAAATCAAATTTAAAAAATTAATAAATAAGAGGGCCATAGTTCCCCATCCCTGTACTAAATGAATCATCTCAACAACTCACCAAATGCCTACATGAATCTGTTAACAACACTCACAGCATATTATACTAGTCTGAACTAGTATGAGGTGCCAGAAAAGAGTCATGAAACTGAACCATATCATAAATATATTTTGGTAAAGTTTTTAACAAGATAGGATAGATTCTCCATTTTGCATAACATTTAATGTATTGATTCCTTTAATGCTGCCTATCATGCTGTCCGTCTCCAGTCTTCTGCTGCCTGATCCTCTCTTGACAAAGTGTTTTTGTACTAACAATCTTTGTTAGTACTGTACAATATAGGGAGTCATAAATAGACAAACAGGTTTCTGCCTTAAGCCACAAGGAAAGTAATAAAGCTTAGGGAATGATATGAAGGCAGTTTCTATGTTCCTAACTGACCTGCTTAAGCGTACTGCACATATCAGGCACAGAACTGCCAGTTGCCTTTTTCATAATGACAATAATGAAACCCAAAAAAATTTGAAGTAGCTATGAAAGGTTTTTGCTGTCTTTGAAAGACAAAGTTTCCATGAGACAAGTATTGGAATTTTCATAAAGAATGAAAACTCTATTCTGGTTTTGCTTGTTCATTTGCAGATGGTTTTTATAGTTTCCATTTGATGAGCAGTTTCCAGGAATTTTAAATTCTACTTAAAAACAAGTAGCTTTTTAAAATAATAAAATCAAATCATTTACACATTGCTCACATTTCTATTCTTCCTTTTATAATAATATTCTTCAAACAAAAATTAAAGATGAGGAAACTGTACCATCACAGCAAAGGGAGGGTGCTTCTAAGGCAGGGCTGTCAAACTCCTGGCCCGTGGGCTGGATGCGTCACATGCTGGCTCTGCCCCTGCCCGGTTTAGTGAAGGGGGAAAAAATTCCCAATACGTCATGTGATGACACTGTGATGACGTGAGTTTGACACCCCTGTTCTAAGGTAAAAACTAGCTTAACTGGAGACAGTTTTACTAAAAGTTCTGCTTGTATTGTATGAAGATTTGTTTTCTTGCGCCAATGGTGGAAAAGTACAATGTAATAAGGTTGAGAGTAGCATCTTAAAATTTGTGTGTGTGTGTGTGTGTGTGTGTGTGCGCGCGCATATGTGCATGCTTTCATATCAGTATTGACTCCTGGACTAGTCCTTCAAGATTTCTTGGCAGTGGTTTGCCATTGCCTCCTTCCTTGGATTAAGAGAGAATGACTGGCCCAAGATCATCTAGCTTTGTGTTTAAAGTGGGACAAGAATTCACTGTCTCGTGGCTTCTACCTAATGCCTTAACCACTATGCCAGGCTATGTCTCCTTAAAAATTAGAATAAAATAATATCATTTTAAAAGGTGGGTATTTCTACAGAGCTAAGGAATCATAGAAGAACAGTCCAGAAATAAGTGAAGTTCAAGCATCAGGGAACCAACATCAATAGAATGGACAGGCAGAAATACTGAGCCAGATATAAAGGGACAGTAATTCTCAATCCAGGATTTCCAGCTTCATCTGGAAGCAATCAGTACTGTTCTCAAGAAACTGTTACTCACCAGTATTTGTATAGGTTCTTAGGCCTACATTTTCTGTCAGATAAGCAGTGAATATTATGTTTCTGTCTTGGAAGGCGATTTTTCTGCTACAGTTGAAGTGGAATTTGGAGGGAGGTCTGACTGAGGAAGTTTTTGTTTTGATAATGGATTTCCTTATCTTACCATTAACAAGATGAAAAGGCTCAGTCTGATCCAGGACTTTCCAGAACCTGGGTGGATCTGAATTTTCTCTAGTCCCTGATTACAGTCAATGGAAATGAGATGTGACTTTGGGTATATTTTCTACGGTTCGATAGTCTGATATATGTTACTGCAAAGATCCTTGCTTTGGAGTGAATGTTTTCTACAGCATAAAATAAAGAAGAACAATATCTGTTTTTTCATGATTCTAAATCAGGGTTATTTCTCCCAAGGAGGTTCACAACATATTAAAATAATTTATAATAGCACATTACAAATAATAATATGTGCACTTATGATACTTCAAATTATTACAGCATTAGTGGATAAAATATAAAAGTGAAAAATAATATAAAATATGTAAACTAGTAGAAAAATACATTATTTAAAAAGTAGCATCAAATTTCAATTCCAAAGTTAAGGATCTTATTTTCTAAACAGTGCTACTGAAAAGTGGGTTTCAAAGTCTCTTTAATTTGATTTGCTATATGAGGGGAGTATAAGGTTGTTATATTAAATAGATGTTAATCTTGGCATATAGATTGCGTGTTTACAGGTTTTCCCATGATTAAGGATCCTAGTTGTGTAAAATTCCTAAGTATGGGAACAAGCCTGGGAACAGAGCCAGGTTTTAAGGGCCTTCCAGAATCCCAGGAGAATGGGTACCATCTGTATCTTTGAGGGGATGCTGTTCCAGAGGGTAAGGGCAGTGACAGAGTAGGCTGTCTTCTTCAGTCCCATAAGATGTCAGTGTTTAAATAGAAGGAACCTGGAGTCCACCTGTGGCCACACGGTCTATTGAAACCACAGCTCATGTCCTGTTATATTGTACTCTCTATAAGGATCCACGGACTCATTTTATAACCCCTTACTGGCAAAATATATTGTAAATTCTGATTTCTTTTATGTGAAGCTGTTACTTTTGGATCATCACAATATAGTTTCCTTGAACATCTCTAAATTCTCCTATACGGTTTGTAACATTAGGCAGACTTTGGCCGCCCATCAAAGATCACACCACTAACTGTAATATACTACTAAACCTTGTTCTGTTCTGTTTTATTTATTTGAATGTTTTAATTTTTATTTGGCCTGTGACCATAAGGAAAGATTGAATGACTTGGAGTACACCCAGTAGATATAAATGTATTGGGTAAGCAGAAATGACTGAACATAATCACTCAGATAGTCAGGCCCTATGTCTGAATTTTCAAATAGAATAAAATTCAGCTCTTGGGATCTCTCTCTCTCTCTCTCTCTCTCTCTCTCTCTCTCTCTCTCTCTCTCTCTCTATATATATATATATATATATATATATATATATATATATATATATATATATATATTAATTGAAGATCATGAATCTGAAGGATACTCAAAATAGAGGAAGAGGAAAGGGAGCATATCTGTAATTATAGTAGATATGACTAGCCTTAATGACAGCACAGCTTAACTTTTACTCACACTCTCTCTCAAGCAATTGGCATGGGTCTCTTCGTTTAATTTTATACCCAAACCATGCTGGAAAGTAGATTAGGCATGAAACAATGACTGAACCCCCCGCCCCCCAAGATCTAGTGAATTCCTATGGCCTAAATTTGAGAGGAAGCTGGAAAGTCCCAGTCCAACACTTTAGCAGCCAAACCAAACTGGGTCAAGAACTGATACCCAGAGAAAGAAGAATGGAATCTAAGCTGAGAGAGAGGAAGTGCAGAAAAGGCATAAGAAATAAAGACACCTTTGACAAGAATATTATAGAGGAGGCAGTAGATAAAAAAAAAATACAAAGAGAGAAGTGACTTGAAGGGATAGAAAAGAAATCTTGGAGGAGGTAACTTAACATCCTTTGTTCACACTCTTTATTTGAAGTAAAGAGTAGAAATGAAAGATGTTAAAGGTCATAGGGCAGCCATTGGAAAAAAATGAAGGAAGAAAAGCAGAGAAAGAGATATTTGGCTACTGCTGAAGAAATGAAGGGAAACATGCATACAGAAACATGGAAGATGACGGGTGAAACAGCAGGGAGAATCCAGTTCTGAAAGGAAGATTGAGAATACCCTTCATGGGCCTTGTGAATATGCAGAGTTATATTGATAGTTTATGTAGGGCTTCAAGTAGCCTGCCATAGAATTCATGTTTTAAAGGTATATTTTATTGAAAACCTCCCCTGTCAAAATATCATTGAAATCTATTGATATTTATTTTTTTTGCTGCTCCTGTTAATTTAGTTGAGCTAGCACAGTTTTGTATGAAGTCTTTTGAGGGTCCTTGACAATAATAACTTACTTTCATCAATTAATTTATTTGTGTGTACTCTTTTCTGAAACATTACGCCCAGATTCATTTCCATCACAGAAAGCTAACAGTAATAACAAAGGATGTTAATCCCTGTGTTAATTTTTCTCTTTATGTCATGAAATACTTTGTTTTAGTATTGTATTGAAGTGTACTATGTTGTGTTACATGCCTCCTCCCCCTCCCCCATTCTCACTGACCTCCTCTCCTTGTCCGCATCCTAGTGTTTTACTTTTATTTCTTCAGAGTGTCTCACTACCCTCCCCTGAAGTGATGTTTCACTTTTCTTGCAATTCCTATTCCCTCCTTTCTCCATAGCACCTTCCACAGTTCTTATTATGCACCAGGTAAGTGCCACCATGAGGAGCATCACGCTGTCATGGGCTCAGCCAGAACAGCCCAATGGCATCATCCTGGACTATGAAATCCGTTATTACGAGAAGCTGAGCCGGATCTGCATCCCTGAGATTAGCAGCGCTATGGGCTCAAGACCAGCTACCGTAAGCCTGAATGAATTTCAGAGAAGGGAATTGGCTGGGCTGGTAATGGGAGACAATGGAATTAAAACTACCAGCTATTTTTAACATATCATGGAATGCATGATTTTGATTTAATTCAAAAATTAGATTGTAGATTTTCTGCGTTCACTCCAGCCTAAGGTTCTGGATAACACTGTGAAAATCTTATTTTATTTTAAATAGATTATCCTTCTTATGCCCTCTTTTCCACCTAGCAATAAGGAACTTGTGAGATAAACTTGACTTGGATTATTATTATTTTTTAATATAGGTGGTTGGGTTCTTTCTTTGTCGAGTCTTCCATGATGGCTTTCTGGTTTAATGAATTTTACCTGTTATTTGCCTTGTGATAAACACCAGCAGATTGGGAATTCCTGTTGCAAGCTACACTAAAACAATCTGCAGAAAAATCTTTGCAACAGTAATTAATTGAAGCTGGTTCCTACTTGTCTGCATTATATATTTATTTCAGTCCCTGTGTTCTTGAATAAGGATTGCTTTAATAACTGAAAGTTTGCTAGGAATGCCAGCCTGCATCCTGGACTTATTTGGATGATGCTTGGATAGTATTTTGTGTACTGTATAACAGTCCTTAATGTCTATACTTATCTTTCAAAAGCTATCTTGTAAGCTCCTGCTATCCTACAGATGACTCCTGTTTTATTACCTTGTAAGAACTAGATAGATATAATCCGACACAGTTGGCTGTAGATTGAACTAGTTTTGCCCACGAGGCCCTGGGGTACAGTAAATGATATCCAATGCCAGATTGTCAGGAAGCAAGCATCAGCTGCCATGCTGCTGTACAGGCCTGCCAACCATGCCTGATGTTTAGGATTAGACAATCATCCAGAGAGACGAAGTAATGTCACAGGCACAATATTGTACTCGGTTGCATTTGTCACACTTGCAGTAAATCTAGGACAGACCATATCCAGGAATAAATAGGAAAAGTGGATAAAATCAAAGTTTTGAGTCAAAATAAAGATTTTCAACCAAATGTAACAAAAAAAAAAAAATCTGCATGCTAAAAAACTTGAGAAAGGATGCTAGTTTTGTTATGCCTTATCTTTGTGCTTGAACTGTGATGGCTGTTTTATATCATTTTCATAGTCAGGTCATGCCAAGCGTAGAAGATAAGTATTGAAATATAGCTATGGTTTCTCTTATTCTGGCCATTTATAAGAGTTAATAGCTAGAATAAACATTTTTGCTGAATATTAATATTATTTACCAGAAAGCCATTGCATTGTATTCTTTTTGCAGAAAAACATATAGATATTACTCATTTACTTACACAATAGGCACCTCCACTGCAAGTTGCATAAGTACAACAATTTTCTCATTACTTATTATTTGTAGTTATTTTCATTTATACATTATTACAGAAGGACTGTAAGAATCAAAACGGATTTGAGTAATATTGATATGTAAAACTCTAACTTCCTTGGTCCTTTCTCAGAAATGTGAAAACTTCAGCTTTCCCATTCAGGAAGCCTCCAGATGACTGGTCACAATTCCCATTAAACATGAAAATTTCTAAGGTTTATTAGAGTTACAGTTTTAGAATGTCCCCAAAGCCCAATTTCAATTTGTTTTAGATAGTTAGAAAATAGCCCTCTGGTTATCCTCATTCCATCCTATTCATTAAGCAGGTGGAAAGCAAGAAACAAGTTGGTACATGGGATTGAATTTTTTTTTACCAGCATCGTAGTTGATACTGCAAAAATAATCTTGCTTCTTTCCTCATACTTCTCCTTCATTTGTTCTTTACTGAAGGACCACAGTGAGTACAACTCCTCTATGGCCAAAAGTCAGACCAACACTGCACGAATCGATGGGCTCCGGCCTGGAATGGTTTATGTAGTGCAGGTGCGGGCTCGGACAGTAGCTGGCTATGGGAAATACAGTGGAAAAATGTGCTTCCAAACTCTGACAGATGGTGAGTGCCTTTGAAAAGTGAGGGAACTTGGTTGCACTCACTGTCAAATTCCCACACTGTATTTGAATAAAATCAACTTGTCTATTCAAACCCTTCTGTGATGGGATAGCATGGCAAGATCAAGTGATTTACAGATAAGTGTGATTTATTGTCAGTTGGATGTCTAATCTGGCTGAAATTCCTCCACCTCTTCCTCCTCCTCCTCACTAGTCAAGATTTTCTTTGTTTCTAACTGTAAAAGAAAACAAGCTCCACCACTACTACTTAGGAAGAGCTAAGGCCCAGTCTGTGTTGGAACACCAAAGTGCATAGTAGCAGGTTATTCAAGGATCTGGACGTGGACAGAGAAACATTTTTTTAAAAAAGTTGAGTGCAGATTTTAAAGGCTGTGGAATGGATGGACTTAAATTTGCACCAATATGTGGACTCTATTTATGATGGTCATTATCAGTTTTTTTTTTAAAGGCACAGATAACATGCCTTTTTTTCATGCCCTGCTGCCCAAGGAGTATATTTTAAAATGTTTTGTGCTTAAGGATTAGTTGCATTTGAAAAGTTGCATTTTAAAAGATTACATTGGAAATAGCTGAGCTCTTAAAGAAACACTAGGGGAAGTGTCTAAAAAGACCCCTTATATTAGAAAGGTATGTATACAAACCTTTTTAAAAATATTAAAAGATGTTGGGGCTGAATATTTCACAATAAGTGTCAGAATTAAAAGACTCAGTAGCTACTTTCCGGGTTTATGGCCGATATATGTGTAGTGTTTCAGTAATGTATAAGTAAGAAAAATCATTTTTGAAAACATACAGAATGAAAGAGAAAATATTTAGATGGATCAATAAGCCAGCAATTGATCACCTGTAGACCTTTGAAATACAGTAATTTGTATAGGTTTTTTAGGAAACTTACGTTAAAAGTGAACTATTTGCAAAGTGACCAAAATCATTCTTTAATCATACATAATTCATTTCTGGAGACTAGTACAAGATAATTTGAAATACAAAACAAAAGTTTATAATACACTGTAAGAGCTGAAGCTGGCAAGGTAGGAATTTATAATTCTCAGACTATGTAGAATCATTATGTAAACCTGCCTGAGCTGCAGTTGTTCGCATAGTCTTAAAGAAAGCCATGGAATATTGTTGACTCAGAAAGGCAGGAAGAAAAGTCTTGGATTTAAACCCTAGCATATAGAGAGAGAGCTGTGGATTGCTATGAACTGCAGTAGGCATATTTTCTATGAAATTTCTATTGTTACCTAGCAACAGATTATGGGATAGAATTTCTGGAGAGTGGGAATGTTTTGAGATGCCTAGGAGAGATATTTGATGCACACTAAATGTCATTGGAGCCTGCAGGTACATTGGAGTATAATGCTCATCATCCACACTTACCTGCCTAGAGGCCACTAGCTTAGGAAATAATATTTTAGAAAATTCATATTCAGATCTACTCAGAATCATCTTGATAAACTTCATTACAGCTTTCCAAATTTGGGGTAGGCAGATGTTTTTAATTGTTTTTAAAGAGAGAGAGAGAGAGAGAGAGAGAGAGAGAGAGAGAGAGAGAGAGAGAGAGAGAGAGAGGAGATGCATACCAGCCCTTGCCTAAACAATAGCTTTTTTAAAAGGTGTAATAAGCACTGAAAACAATAAAATGGCCACATGATAAAAATAGCAAAAATAATAATAATCTACAAGAATCAAATACTAAAAAAATAAGTTCACCTATTATTTCCCCCTAAATTTAAGAGGGGAGGAGGGGTATTCTTTGCCTGGAGCTGAAAGGATTTTGGAGAGAGACTTGTTTGACATCTGCTCCAAAATCCTGACAACATTCTAGGTATGAAGTTCTGCATCTACAATAAAAAAGTTGTTTTCTTATTCTGATCCATCCTACTACTGCAACCATTCAGTTCTCATTTGTTGTAAACCTATTGTGATTATGTGCCACCAAGTCATTATTGGCTGTAAGAGACAATATAGTTAAGTTTCATCTAGGATGATCTATCCCTTACCTGGTCTCTTATGTCTTCCAATAGTGCACTCATCACCATTGTAGACTTACCAAGTCTATTCATCTTGCTGCTGGTCATGCTCTTCTTTTCTATCTTTCCTTCCATCTTTCCCAGCATTACAGTCTTCTTTAGAAGCTAGGTCTTTGTCTGAGCCTAGTGGCTTGAGTGAGAACACTAAGTTGATTTTGTTCAGTGATCCATTCATTTGTTTTCTTGGCTGTCTACCGTATTCTAGGAGTCTGCCAACATCAATGTTCAAAAGCAATTAATATTCATCCTATCCTGATTCTTCAAAGTCCTGATCGCTATTAGTATAGACACATAACTGCATTTGAATAGTTTTCCAAGATCTTCATAGCTGCTGTACCAAGTGGTAATACATGATGTATTTCTGAACTGCTTGTTTTCATACTAGTTGATGGTTGATCCTGAAAGGCAGAAGCAATCCACCACTTGGATATCTTCATTGTCTGTTCTAGGCTGGTTGTTTAGCCCTACTTTTTCATGGTGTACTTTTGAGTTTTATCATGAAACCTTGCAGAAACTTTGTATTTTCAGCCATTGGTATAGTTCAAGTTATTGAAGTTTCTTCCTCCAATTTTAGAACTAGGTTAATCATTCAATCTAGTTTCCCTTAATACATATATGTGCACGGCAAATAGATTGAATAAATAAGGGAAGGGTATACAGCCTTGTTGCATTCATTTCAAACTCTGGAACCAATATATTTCTCCATGTTCTGTCTGTAATGTGGCTTCCTAAACTATATTTAAGTTTTTCACAAGGAAAATGAGATGTTCTGGGATCCCCATTTTTCTAAGCCCATTTCATAGCTTAATATGATCAAATGCTTTTCCTTAATAAATGAAGAGCATATTTAATTCTTTTGGGTATTCTTTGGCTTTCTCAATTATCCTCTGTAGATCAGCATTATTGCCTTATTTTCCTGTCCCTTTCCTATAACCATTTCTTTTTTCAGGTAGGACTTTAATCTGCATTGTTGATCCTAAGCATTATTTTGTTAGTATGTGAAATGAAGAATATTGCAAAAGAGTTGGCACACACACACTTTTAATTCTCCCTTTCAGGTGGTTTTGGTATGTAGATTGATATTCCAATTGGACTAATCTTCCAATTGGACTGTTCTTCCAATTTATTGGTTACCGTGTAATTTTACAGTTTTGCTGGTACAATTTGTTACTTGATTGATTCTTTTTCTATTTCTTTCCATGTTCCCATAGAAGTGCCATTAGTCTTGTAGCCTTTCAGTTTGATAATGAGTACTGATCATCTAATATTAGAGGTTCCTGTAAGCAGGAATTATCTTCCAAGTTATCTTGGATGTTGATCTCTCTACTGTATAATGCAAGTAGTCCTGTACTTACAACAGCATATAGGACTCTTTTGTGAGAAAGGGCAGGGAGGATGCACAAGAGGTGCAACACGGGGAAGCTTCAAGGAGTGAACAAGAGGTCAGGGAGGGTAAATGTGAATGCAAGGGTGTGTGCAAGAGGTGCCTGCCTGGGGTGTGTGCAAGAGGGGTGCCATACGGATTGGGAAAGGTGAGGGGAGGGTATGTGAGAGATGCCATGTGTACAGGGCAAAGTGTGCAAAGGTGTGAAGTCAGGGATGTGCAGGGAGGTGAGTGACTGGCATGGTGTGAGTGGAATGGAACAGAAGGAGGATGCATGGGTGGGAGAGACTTACTCCAGTCTCCTGCAATCTTCCCTGCCAGCTTCCCCATTTACTATCTGGGAAGCCAGCAGAGAAAGTTGCAAATGGCAATCATGTGATCATGGTGGTGCTACAACTGGTTGTAAGTGCAAATGGATTCCCAGGCATTCAGATCACATGACCACAGGGTGCAAAAAAATCCAGAACTCATTTACTGCTATTGCAACTTAGAATGGTCACTGACCCAATGGTCATAGGTTGAGGACTACCTGTATTTCAGTATACTTCCGTTTATTATTTATTTATGTCCTGCCTTTAATGATTTTACAAATAACTCCAACATACCTTCCTCTTCCTATTTTCCCTACAACAACAATCCCTTGAGGTGAGTTGGGCTGAGATAGATTGGCTGGCCCAAGGTCACCCAGCCCTTTCATGGCTAAAACGGTCAGAATTCATGGTCTCTCAATTTCTGGCTTTTTGTTTGATTTCCTTTGAGTTGATTATTATCTGTCTACTGGCATTCGTTAGTACAGCAGTTCTCAACTAGCAGCCATATTATCCCCTGTGGGACCTTGGGACACAGATGAAAAACATGAAACGGGGGGCCATGACATGCGTCAGGGGGTCATAGAAAATCCAAGTGCATTATACTGCAAATACTACATTGTTGATGCAAGAAAATGTATTAGATTATTATTTAATGTGTGTATCTGATAATGAGACTTGAATGTAGAGTGGGGTGGGGGCCGCAGGAGAAAAACAAGGCTGAAAAGGTGCCTTAGGTTTTTTCTTAAAAATCATGAAATGCAGCATTATATCAATTTGAGGTTGGAACCTCTGACTAAGTTCAGATATTTTTTTAAAATAACTTTTCCTCTTTTTCCATGCTGTTTCCATGTTCAGTACCTTTACAGATGTTATTGTAATACTGGTTCTTGTCTCATGAAACCATTCTCTGAAACTCTTTGTTAAGTTCCTTTACGACATTTTCATCTTTCTTGGCTTTGGCTTGTCTTCTTGACAATTTCTATGGCTATATTCTGACATCAAATTTGCTTTCTTCTGTTTTTGGCAGTCTCTTTTTACATTCATCCTTAACAACATTAAATTCATTCCACAGGAAACCTAGGGTTATGCAGATATTGCTGCACATCGTACTGATTTTGTCATGAGCTGGATGCTTTTCAAAAATATTCTGAATATAATTCATTATATAATCAGTGTCCTTGAGTATGTATACAACATGATAGAACAATTAATGTGACTAATTGCATATTAATTCAAAAGTGTGTTGATGGAAAAAAACAAGTATATAGTGGCCCATATTGGCCTCTTAAGTTTTTTTTAGCAAATGAATAAACCTGTTAACAAATGAATAAACCTGGTTTAACCTCTTAATTAATCTATACTAATGTCCCACATCATAATATCATAACTCAGATGGTTCCCCTCTAGAATATTTTTACATAGTTTTGCTACATAAGCCTAACTGTAACCCAGAGTCCACTGTCCTTGAGCAATGTCTAACTGAAGAAAGAAATGGGAAGCATATGTGCACCAACTGCTAACTGAAAAGATGAGCCCTTTTAAAAATATCTTTCCATTTTACTTAGACAATTAGACAGGCATAGAGAATATTCTGCCCGAAACATAAGCAGCTAATTGAAATCTAACAAGAATGGATACTGTATTATTAAATAATAATTGATTGTTAGATGAGAATTTGTTCAAAATTTATGCATCAGGCAGGAGATAAAACAGATACCAGTAATTAGCTTCAAATGAGAATAAGAAAATTAAAAAGAGGTGTGAAATTTTCTGTTTGTATGAATTTATTTTAAGCTATTAAGTATTCATGCCAGAATTATTAGAAGATAAGCAGTAATGTTAATCAAATTAATTTATTGTCTACCAGTCCATTGTGGTAAGGTGGGTGCAAGTAGACAGCCCTTTATCTGAATAATTTCTTGAGGAAGCCAGACAATGTTACAAGGGTATTATTTCCTAGAGTTTTATATTAAGTATCAGTCCTGAATTTCAGGGCAAGAAGAAGCCATAAATTGTTCAATTTATAATGGCAAACTAAAGTTTGCTAAAATGTAGAAATTAATCAGTACTTGTGATAAAAAGACAGAAGGATAGAAATCTAAATTATGATTGATATTACTAGCAGAATGAACACTTATAAACCATTCTCCACAATCCCACCAATGTTTCAATTTAGAACAAATATATATAGCTCAATGTGGGGTCTTTGGTGCTCTCTGAGTTTGGTTGTGTGCTTACAGATGTTTCATTATCCAACTAAGTAACATGAGTGAGTGTAGGGTTGTTGTCTGCTAGTATGTGTGTGTGTGTATGTATGTGTGTGTGTATATATGTATATGTGTATATATATATATATGTATATGTATATATATATATATGTATATGTATATATATACACATATATATACATACATACATATATACATATATACATATATACTTGTTTTCTGAGGTTTTCACGGGTGTTTGTATGTAGGTCTTTGGTTATTCGGGTTTTCTCCTGCGTAAAATTGGAGGTGTCTTGGCAACGTTTCGACGAAGCATTGCTCCTAGAAGCACGAAGCCGAGAACACCAGCCTGAAGATGACAAATGAGACTTCGTCGAAACGTTGCCAAGACACCTCCAATTTTACGCAGGAGAAAACCCGAATAACCAAAGACCTACATACATATATACATATATACATATATACATATATATTAGCTTAACCTCCACCAAAACTGACTGGGTAAGCTATTATACAGAAACAGGTTAGCAAATCCCATACTTACTGCACTGATGATGTCACCTAGCTGGGAAATTAAATGTCCAAGCAAATAACCAAGCTCATAGAACATCAAGAATTCCAGAAGTTTCCACTTAATTGTAGAATCTGTTGTTTGGGTTGTGTTTTCTTAGCTTTAATGCTAAATATAATTGTTGGAGGAGGAGGAGGAGTTTGCAATCAAACCTGAGTTCTATTAGCAACTACAAAATTAATTTCAGGACATGAGAGGATCTACCGTAATAGTTTTGGTAGTGAATACTGGGGCTTAAAAAGGGGACTACAGATTAAAATTCCTGATTTGCCATGCAACTCCCTGGGTTGCCTTGAACCAAACACTGCTTGTTAGCTTATCTCATTTTGCAAACAGTAGGGTAAAATGCAATTACCTGTGTATGCCATCCTGGAAGAATAGGAGGGTACCAGTCTCATCAATAAATAATCAGGATGTATTATTAACTATGGAAGGTATATATCAGCAGGCAGGAAAATTACAAAACTACTTATTTTTTTCCCTCCCAGATGACTACAAGTCAGAACTGAGAGAACAACTGCCATTGATTGCTGGTTCTGCCGCAGCAGGAGTCGTCTTCATTGTCTCCTTGGTGGCTATTTCAATTGTTTGCAGCAGGTATTACTTGCCCCATTAGCCTTTTCTTTCCATTCCAAAGAGGAACTTTCCCAGAGGATATAGCAGGAATGCATAAATGTTCAGCAGGATACTTTTGGCAAAACTAATGATCTGCGGTGATTGCACAGAAAATATCCTACAAATGAGTGGATGTACCGGTGGACATCTTTGAAAAAAAAAAGCCATATGTACCAAAAACATTTATATGTCAGAGAGCTCCAGGTATGCACCACTGTTGAGAATACCAAATCAAAAGAAAAAAAATTACCTAGATAACTCCCTTTGTTTGATGGGCCCACGTTTAGGAAGCTTGTCTCCCAAGGCCAACTGCCTTCTAATGTTTGCCCTAAGCTTAATCTTCTCCAAACGATTCTCTTTTTGGTCTCCCGCAGAGGATATTTATGGTGTGTTAGCCTTCTGTTGGTTACTATGGTGCAATAAATGGGTTTTTCCTATTTCCATTGCCTTTCTGTTTCTTGATCCTATATTATCCACCCACAAAAAAGGTTATTTTATTGTAATAGTTTTTAACCAGATTGTAAGTCTGTTTTATTTTGTTTTAATTGTAATTGCAAACCACTGAAATTGTACCTGACATACTAATACTAATAATGCAAGAAATTACTAAATTATTTCAGTAAATCATATTAAATTTTGAAGGACAATATAGAATAGAATAGAATTCTTTATTGGCCAAGTGTGATTGGACACACAAGGACTTTGTCTTTGGTGCATATGCTCCAAAAATAAAATATTCATCAAGAATCATAAGATACAACACTTAGTGATAGTCATAGGTTACTAATAAGCAGTAAAATAGCTCCATGAACTGTTGGTCAAAAACAGGCCACAATGGTAGTTTTCTGCAAAATGCATTTCAGGAGCTCTCATAGGGAAGTACATGTAGTCCTTGACATACAAGAATTCATTTAAATACTGCTCAAAGTTACAACCACACTGAAAAAAGCGACATGACCATTTTTCACACCTATGACCTTTGCAGTATCCTCATAGTCATGTGATCAAAATTCAGATGCTTGGCAACTGGTTCATCTTTACGACCGTTGCAGTGTCTTGGGGTCAAGTGATCGCCTTTTGCGAACATCTGGCAAGCAGTCAGTTGGGAAATCCAGATTCACTTAACAATCATGTTACTAATTTAACAACTGCAATGATTCACTTAACAACTGTGGCAAGAAAGGTCATAAAATTGGACAACACTCACCTAACAAATGTCTCACTTAGCAACATAAATTTTGGGCTCAATTGTGGTCATAAGTCGAGGACTTAACCTGTATTAAATTAGTTAAGAGGGTGAGTGTGACCTAGTTCTAACCCTTTGTAGACGTGTTCATGTTGCATGAGTCTACACAGGAATTTGGCTCCAGTCACACATTCATGCTTGTCATTTTGACTGGCTTTAGTCCCATTCCTTGCACATGCCCCTGATACATTTCTGGAATGGGTTCTCTAATGTAGGAATCGTTTTAATTTGTGATCAGCTAATCGACTTCGCAATGCTAATACACCTACTAAGGACCCAGGGATGGATTCGTAGATTATGCTGAGCCAGGATGTGGTTTGTATTGCTTTGATTTACAGATTATATGCTGCCGGCTGCTATGAATTGTAAACTTGTAAATTCATTATGGAGGTACACAATGTGAAACCTCCTTTGATGTGCCCCTCAAAGTCTATTGAAATGTTTTGTTCAATATATTCATATGTGAGAAGGGAATTGAGTAATTTTTATTTAAATTTAAATTACTTAAATACAGTTTATGTGAAATATACTATATGCATACAAACTGCACTTAAGTAAATTAATTTAATTAAATCAAAAAGAGTTATGCCCGGGGTTCTGCTTACATTTTATCACCCAAGGGCCAAATGCTACCTTAGCCTGAAAAATGTAAACATTCTGCCTCTTGTTACAGTATGTGTGAATTCAGCCATTGTGATTTATTCAACAAACTAGAGTTAAAACCAACTTTGCATTATATCTGAAATAAGCCCTTTAATGGGATGTGGATTTATTAAAGGAAAAAGATAATCCTGGGTATATTGTATTGCTATCTTCCAGGGAAAATAAAGGTATCTTACTTAATCAGGAAAATTCCAGTGAAGACAGAGCAGATGGATTAGATCAACCACAGCAGAAGACAGCAGGAAATAGAATCATGGATTGGTTTAAATTAATGCTGTTGCCTGAAGTTATCCCATAAGAGTAATAAATACTATTTTAGTAATTTACTAACTGATCCTTATGTGGACAGCTATGATTTGGGATGTGATCACCTTTTCCCCCTATGTGGGAGCTGTCTAGATGCAAAAGGACCTTACCATCATATTACAAACTCAGACTTCTCTTAAAATAGTTCAGTGTAGTTTTTGCTGATGGTTCCTTTTCAGCCAGAAGCTGATGACAAAGCCCTAAACACAGAACTGATTTTTCTTCCCCTAGAGAAGCAAGCTGAGTCTTATCCTCATCAGACTCTTCTGATGGCATGATGATAGAGCTAGAATTACAAAGTACTTGGTCTATAGCAGCAGTTATCAATTCAGAGCCATATGGCCCCCTAGGATATTTCAAGGAGGCCACATGTGAAAAACATAATTGGGGGAGGGGGAAACTGAATGAGCCAGGGGGGGGGGCACAGAAAACAAAAGTATATTATAATGCAAGTACTGTCTGGTTGATGCCAAAACAATGCACCAGTTGCTCTCTCATGTCTGAATAATAGGTAATATAGGTCATGAACCAGAGGGGACACAGGAAAATATATGCAGGGGCATAGGAGAAAAACAATATTGGAAGCAGAAGCCAGGCACTAGAGAAGTGGCATATTTATACAATCACTGCCTTCAAATGCTTTTCAAAGGGTGCTCAATCTGAGAATTTGGACATAATTTGAACTGATGTTTACTTTTTATTTTCCTAGGAAGCGAGCATATAGCAAAGAGGCAGTATACAGTGATAAACTCCAGCATTACAGTACCGGTAGAGGTGAGTGCAAGAAGCCTTTGGAAGGTTATGGATGGGCCAGGAAAGTTGTAAGTACTTTGTTGTAAGGCTTTGATAATAGTCGTATCTTTTAATCGCCTGGTTTGGAGTTGAGATGAAGACTGAAAAATACTTGGGGGGGAGGACTTGCTGGGAAGACAAAAAAGAAGGAAAAAATGGATATTAGCAAAGAATAGATATATTATCTTAAGGTTGCTATAGTTCAGTGATGGCGAACTTTTTGGCACTGGTTGCCGAAAAGGTCGCACAAAAATGTTCCTCATGCGTGCACATGCTCTTCGGAAAAGCTGAACTTCCGGGTTCTAGCGTTCATGCGTGCCTGGCAATCAGCTGGCCGGTGCGCATGTGCAGGCCGGCTTTCGGCACTGCCCTGTGTGCGAAGGGATCGTGCTCTGGAAAGCCGAACTTCCGGGTTCCAGCACACATGCACACCCAACAATCAGCTGGCCTGCACACATGCACACACAGGTTTTTGGCACTGCCACATGCTCGAAGTACAGCTGATCATATGTGTGCCAGAAACATGGAAGACAAATAGGCAAGGAGGCGCGTGTCGGGTGACATGGCTTTGCGTGCCTCTTTGGCCATGCGTGCCATAGGTTCGCCATCACTACTATAGTTCCTTTATGTTAGAAACAGTTTATAAATTCTGGCCAAAATGGATGCTTACAAACCTTTTGGACAGAGAATAAAGTAAGAGCAAACATAGAATTTTCAGAATTTCCTTTGCAGATGCTCAACAGAACTAATTAACAACAGAGAACATGGAAACTGGATAAATGAAAGGATTCACGAAAAGCCCTGAAGGAAATCCTTAACCTCAGAAGATAAGGCTTCTCGTTTGTTTAGCTAGATATTTGAAGTAGATTTAGAACACTTTTTTACCCAGCTTCATTTAGACAAAATGAAAAGCCAAGATATACAGCACTTGTTGACATATAGTCCTGAGCTAGTTGTTTATTTGAAATAAGTGGTTGTCTTCAATCTTTCTGAGAATATCCCTGAAATATAGAACTTCACATAGTTCACCTGAAATGGGAGCTTGTTACAGAATACAGAAAGGGTAGTTGTATTTGTGCTGGTCATGATTTGATTGGCAAGCAAAAGCAAGGTCTCAGAAGAACGTATAATCAAAACTTGGTATTTTATTCAGTCTAAAAATATTTTGTCCAAGTGCATTGATTTATCAGGAACAGTGAAATGTTGGAAAATGTTCTTATCTCCTGTTTCATAAACAGATCACATTCTTATTGCTTCCTGAATTCAATCTGGGTCATGGAAAGCAGCGAATCAGTTTTTATACAATCAAGGTTCTTTTTAACATATTAGGAAAGTGAGTAGGGTAATCACAAGCCTAACCACCAAATAGTTACAGCCTACCTACACATGCTTTATTTGCTTACAGGGTATGTAGAACCAGCTGCAAACAATTATATTTGATAGTTCCCAGGTGTTTGGGGAAAATCTGTAACACAAATGTACATAACTCTTTGGGGTTCTATAGATTACAGCCATCAGCAATACCTAAGTAAACCTCAGCCAAACCAGGAAATGAGAGAAAAGGTAGGAAACCAAATTGGGAGCAGCTGAAATCCAATTTGCACTGTAGAGGCAAAGTCTCCCAGACATTTTATTTCTTTAAAAAGACAATGTGAGCCTAAAATGTAGGGGAGAACATCCTCATTATTATTCAAATGAATGGACCAGAATATGCTACTGTATCATGATAGTAAAGGTTAATCAAATGAATATTAAAATGAAACAGAATTAAAGCTTCATAAAAGCTTTTGTATTTGCTGACCTTCAAATTTGTTTCAGTGTATTCCTAAGGTTTTGAATGTAGTTATCTGTAAATTCTGCTTGAAATTATATAGGCCAGTGATGGCTAACCTTTTTGCCATCACGTGCCAAAAGCGGGGGGAGCGCGGGGAAGGTCATACGCACGTGTGCCCACATCCATAATTCTATGCGCCCTGCCCCCCATGCTCCCCCTGCTTTTGGCATGTGATGGCACCTGGGCCCGGTAGGCCAATTTTTCGCTCTCCCCAGGCTTCATAGCCTTTCTAGGAGTCTGGGGAGGGCAAACACGGCCTTCTCCACCCCCCCCCCAGAGGCTCTCTGGAGGCTGGAAATAGTGTTTCCTGACTTCAGATAGGCCCAGAAGGCCCAAAAATCAACTGACTGGTGCACACATGTGTGCTGGAGCTGAGCTCGTGTGCCCACCAATATGGCTGCACGTGCCACCTGTGGCACCCGTGCCATAGGTTCGCCATCACGGATATAGGCCAATATAGTTTGCTGTTGGGAGTCTAATGATTTTAAACAAACTAAAATTGCTCTAAAAAGACCATTATGAATAAGAATAGCTTCTTATCCAAGTCTCTATAATTAATGTGGTAAATATGAAAATACTGTAGTACCTAACCATTTCCTTCTTTCAGATTATTACTATAGGCATTTTTTAAAATTGACAAAAATGCATAGTTTAAAAGTTTTAGATCTATCAGTTTACACTGCTGTATTAGCGTTTTCACTATTTCTGTGATCAAAATATTTCTGTAGATCATGCTTTATTTTTTTTATGTATTTATGTTTTTAACTAAGCAGAAGCAATATTATATAACTATGTTTCTAAAGTAAACATAAGACTGAACATGGCAAGAGGTATGAGGGTCCAAAGTGAATGATATGGAGATGAAATGGAGCTGATAAATGTCTGGACTAGAGTTTTGATGAGTAGACTTCAAAGAAACTGCGATCAGCTAGGAAACACTCTTAAATTATATTTTGATGCAACCTCAAGAAAGAAATCGTTTAGAAGGATGTGATGACTGGACAACTTTCATTCCTCATTACCATTACCTACTTTCAGTGTTTGTCCTATTTGGAGCAAAGAAAATGGGGTATGAGAGATTGTGACTGGTTTTCAGCCTGGAGACTTATTTTTCTGAATTAATAATGAGAGATTTTTACAAGAACCTGCAGCATGGATGGAACAGTCTACGTTAATCCTTTTCCATGGGCATTTCCTAATGTCATATTCTTTCCCCAAAGTAACAATGGCTAATAGAATATCTCTTAAGTAAAGGCAGAAAGGTAGATCCAATCTCTTATTTGCTAAATCACTAAGTTTCTAATCTCCTGCTGACCCTTGTTTTACTTTATTTTGCTCCATTTTTTTTAAATAAAGTATAAGGGAAAAGAAAACAGGCAGGTCACCTTCATCAATATCAATGAAATTGTCATGTATGAAAGCCATCATCTTTGATTGGCCATGTGGTTGTTGCTTGACTCTGTTAGCTTTAGTCAGATATCCCATGATCAGTAAGGAAATTATCTAAAATAAGATCACTTTCACCTTGACAGTTAAGTGATGGGGTGGCCAGTAAGGAATAGATACAGATTTTCACAATAATTTTATAATTAACTTCATATTGGGAAATTTTCAGCTATTACTCAAAATTTCATTTGTAAAGTTTAGGAAATTTAGGCCCAGCCAGGATCTGAATAAAAAACTTTTTTCTGAGAAGCTCAGATACCCTACACTTCATTGGAAATAAGGGCTTCATAATTAATTAAATTAGGGATGTGGTGGCTCAGTGGCTAAGACACTGAGCTTGTCAATCAGAAGGTCGGCAGTTCAGCAGTTCGAATCCCTAGCCCCACATAACAGAGTGAGCTCCCGTTACTTGTCCCAGCTTCTGCCAACCTAGGAGTTTGAAAGCACATAAAAAATGCAAGTAGAAAAACAGGGACCACTTTGGTGGGAAAATAACAGTGCTCTGTGCACCTTTGGTGTTTAGTCATGCTGGCCACATGACCATAGAGACGTCTTCGGACAGCGCTGGCTCTTCGGCTTAGAAATGGAGATGAGCACCACCCCTAGAGTCGGAAACAACTTAGCACGCATGAACAATTGAATTAAAAAAAGAATTTATGTAGTATACATTGGAAGTAAATAAATACATAAATACATAAATGTTAGAGAAATTACCCCTTCTCTATGGCTAATGGTGATCAGAGTGCTCAAGATGCTAAAATTAAGATGAATAAAAATAAATTCCCCAAAAACTGGAGCAGACTGAGCTCCTTTTATTTATGTATGGATAGATATAAATGTAAATGACGTAAATGCTGGCAAAGACTTGAGTGTTATTTATATCCCATCTTTATTATTTTTACAAATAAATCAAGGCACACACAATATAGTTTCCTCCTCCTATTTTCCTCAATCCTGTGAGGTTGATTGGACTGAGAGAGTGACTGGCCCAAAGTCACCCATCTGGTTTTTATGCCTAAGACAAGACTTGAACTCACAGCCTCCTGCTTTCTAGCGTATTGCCTTTATCACTAAACCAGACTGGCTGGCTGTTATTGTTTGCTGTCTGTCTATTGGGTAAGTTAGTTTAGGGTGACATTTAAATCAATTATGTTTTACTTGTTTCTATTTGATTCTTCAGGCTTTCAGTGGTGGCCAAAAAATATGTAAGAAACACATCACTGGTATAATATTTTGATATATGCAATAGTATCACCATGCATCAGTACAAAAACATAATTTAATGAGGGTGCCCATCTCAGGTGGCTATTTATACTAGCATGGAAAACACACTACACATAAGAATTACAAACTTTTTTCATTGGCAATCTTTGTGTCAGGTTATAATCTTTACATCATACAGAATCTTTATATATTTTACATTCTGATATATTTGCATGCTAAATGTAACAGAATAAAGAAAATTTAAGATGTGTAGCCCTTCATTCACAGAATGGTGGCATGGAAGAAGCAAAGTTAAAAAGCTACAGTGATTTCTGGAGAAAGTTACATGAATTCATGTGTTAAAGATTAAAATAACAAACACATAATTTACATTTATGATCAAAATTCTCATTTACATTTTCATTTTCTAGAAGGTATTTGGTTGAAAGTTGGAGAGTCATAAACAAATAACACTGAGAGGTACAGATTCCATGATCCAAAGAGACTAAAGATTTGTTCATGGTTTAAATATTTGCTGAAATAAAACATTTTGCAAAACCCAGTAGGAATATTTATAAAAGAGAAGGAAAATATTATAAACAGTTATTGTTTTGTTATCAGTTATTGTAAAATACCCATAAAACAGGATATTGCCCTTAAAAAGTAATCTAAAATTGAGGAAATACATCTTTCTGTTGATTACCATCTGTTGGTGATACAGAAGTAAGCAAGCTTTGAAGTACCAAAATGTTTTCCTTTGGCAGAATGGAGAAGCTGCTAATTCTCAGCATGATAAAAGAACAAAGCTTGTGCTATCAGCTAGAAATATGCATCAGTCTATTCTCTATCATTAGTACCAGAGTTGTTGCATGTAGCATATAATTGCATAGCTGGATGTGCTTTTCATCCTCTGATCTTTGAGCTTTCATTCATGCTGTGCTAATTATGTCAGCCCACCTTTACCCCTAGGGTAGTTCCAAACTATGGCAAATTTTCTTAACAAGTTCAAAGCCATTTATCAGTTGTGCATATACCCTCTTCCTGGCCCTTCATTCTATACTGCTGGGCATTTAGAAGCCACATTACACTTGCACAGTGTATGCTATGTTACAAGGTCATTGTGCCCTCAAATTGATCACCTGAATTATACGTTTGTTTTGCTGTTCCAATCTGTAAACCAGACTTGGTTATCATCTTGTAAATTCCTTTGTAATTCTGCTAGAGAATTGGCTGCACTTATAAAAGGATTTATGGACTGTAAAAGTGTATGTGATGAAGCATTTATGAAGCAGTCAAAATAGATATGACTTCCTGGCAAGTTTCATTGTTGGCAATGGAAGAATCCAGCTTTGGACCAATGTGTACCTAATAGTTTGTTCAAATATCAGAATACTCTACATCAGATTTAGCACTATAAAATTAATCTAGTAATGAAGGAATTGATCAATTAGTATAGGGTTTGATCACTGCATTAACTGTAATGCAATCTATATAATTCAGGTCAAAACTGAACATTAGTATGGTGACCCTTCTTTTCTTTCTAATTTATTATCTTCTTTCTTCTCCCTATTATCTTTCTGACACCTTTCAGTTACCTACAGGTCAGCTCCAAAGATAGTTAAGAATTATATGTGGTTTACTGGTTAATTTTACATAGATTACTGGTTGTCTATTTCTACAATAACATCTGAAGCAATTGGTTGAGTTATCTAGACATTATTGGTTCAGACTAGGCATGTTTAGGTATAGGAAAATATACTGGTATATTAATATTAAATGAGTCATCCAAAATACCTGAATCCTTTTGATTGAGACCCTCTGAAAGTGGCATTTTTTTTAAAAAAAAATAATCTGAAAGAAAGTAAAAATCAGAACTATGTGGGTCTGGGAAATTAATATACTATAATTGAATTATATTTAAATAAAACATAAGCCACAGCCACCCACATCTACTGAAGTATGGTCTTGAAATAGCATTCAAACAATATTCATAGGCCAAGGGTAGTCCTTTGACTGAAGAATATGAGCCATCCTATCCTACAGCATGTACCATGTATCAGGGAAACTGGAAAGCTTCCAATCACTTGTAGAAGTATAATGTTTGAAGCTGTTAACAATCACCTAAATCTTGTAGTTTTAGTTGCTTTAGTATTTTGAAAAGGGAATTGAAGACTCTTGTGGTCTAGAAAATAGTTTAGGAAGGGATGAGAATCTTAGATTTTTCACCTAGCAGAAAAAAATATTTCAGCCTTAGTGGTACCTCACACTTGTGTGTTCTTAGATTCATATGTTTCACTATAAAATGTATGTGCTTCTACCAATAAGATTTGTATTTCTGAATGTAAGATCTGTCTTAAGATTTGTGAAATAACAAGGTTTCTACCCTTCTTTCAAAGTCCTTTTAGCACTCTCAGATTCTTCCAGTCATGTCTGTAGAGTTTTATCAGCTACAAAGAGAATCATTTAGAGAAGGGTAAAAGAAACCGGAAGAATATTTATCATGGAGATTGTATTTTATTGTTTAGATGCTCTCCAGTTGGTAATTGCTACATTCTGTCAGTAGCAGTCACAAAACAATCAAAAGGTAATGCTGAGTAAATAAAAATGGGTTAAATTATGCATTAAGGGAAGTGCCATAAATCTTCTGCCATTTTTCCTATGGAACTAGCAAAGTAGTTTTGCTGCATAGCTTTGCTCTTGTGAATTGAACAAAAAAGACTTGTAAGAAGACCTTTAACTCCAAGCAGCAAGCTCGTCAATCTGAATCAACTAGAAAGCTTTCTAGAACATTAAACTGTTGAAAAATGATTTTATCCTCTTTTTTTCAGTCCTCATTTTGTCTTTCTATAACTCTACTTTTTAAAGAGCACACTAATAGTGTTCTTAGGTACTGATTGTATTTTATTTTTCCTTTTTAGTTTGGTTTTCAATTTCTCAAGACAACTTACTTTCCAAAGTGATTTCTTCCTTTCTTCTCTCCCCTTTTCTCTTCCCTCCCCTTTTCACTCATTCTCCTTCTTAGTTTGCTTCTATTTCTTTCCTGCATTCACTGCTATGGCATAGGCACCCCTCACAATCAGAGGGAAGCAGAAAAGGCATTGGGCTAATAAATATTGTTCTCTAGCTACACTTTTTTCTTTGACTTTCTTGCTAATGGAATGGCTTTGATAAGTAAAAATGTGCACCCATTTTTGGATATAATCTATTTCTTGCTTCTGATCCATTATAACTAATACGTCCTGGATTTCCAGGGAGACTGCAAAAGAAAAGATGTTGTAGGAGAAGTAGAGAATAAGAAAAGACTGGAACAGAAGGGATAATAAACTGTCCAACTCAGAAAGAGATCCTGGTTTTAAAAAAAAAAATCAGGGAAGGAAGAAGGGTTTAGTTTCAGGGTGCTATTCTACCCTCCTCCCAGAGATGAATATGATTCTTTTTCTCTCTCTCCTTTTATCCCACTAAAATGGGAAGGCTCCCCTGGAATGAAGATCTACATTGATCCTTTTACATATGAGGACCCCAATGAAGCTGTCCGTGAATTTGCCAAGGAAATTGATGTGTCTTTCGTGAAGATTGAAGAAGTCATTGGAGCAGGTGTGACTCATTTGCTAGTGGGCTGGTACTCAGTGCCACCCTGTTTTCTCCTTTCCTTCTTTTTTGTCCTTTGTCCACATTGGATATTCTGGTTCATTCAGCTCAATTATCAGTGGACTGGAAGTCTAACTGCATCTTCTGTGATTGAAGAGGCTGTGCTTAATTAATTGACTCGTTTTAATACATTGTGATGCTCCCAGGTTTAATTAACAATAAATAGGTTGTGCAATTGTTCCCTAGTTTATGGGAAATAAACTAGTCTATTCACTAGAGCAGCAATCACTACCTTTTAAAAAATTAAACAAAATTCATAGAGGAAAAATTAAACAAACATAGCAATCTTCATTTTAAAAAGTGCTATTCGAAATCCATACTTAGCATAAAAGTAATTTGCATAAAATGTGTAAATTATAGGATTAATTTATTATACAATTTATAAACCACTTTTCATTTTTTTAACAAAAAGTCAAAGTGGTTCACATTTAAGATATAAAATTACAGAAAACAAATAATTATAGGACATCTGGAAAATAGGTAAGTGGGACGACAAAATAATGTCTATGCTATCAAACAAAAATTTTAATATATTGTACACACAGCAGCAAGAATGGCATCTAATCTTTGTGAAATATTTACTAAGTATGTTAGATGGCACTAAAGACAAACTCTGCATCACTTAATATTGGAACTCTGTGATATAAATATTTTGAGTACAAGGATTAGTTAGACCTATATGAAAATGAATAGTTTCTTAAAATGATCCTGGTTTAGGCATTTTAAGGTCTTAAATGCAGGACCTTGAAAATGGCTAACCTTAGTCATCTTATTTCAGACCTTTTTATACTATTGTAAGGTAAGTTTATTTAATGTTAGGACTTGTTGACAGTGCATCCTTGGTGTTGCTGTACCTGTATATTTATCAGAGTTCCTTATTTCTCAAAAGAACGCTAAGTTTATATGTGTTAATTATTCTTGACACAGCAGTAGATGTATTTGAATCAACAAATCTGCAGTCAACTTTCAGGGATGTTTTAACCTGATTGTTGTAGATAATCTCCTAAAAGCCTCTTTCAATTCTTTGATTCTGTGACTCAGAAAATATGCAACTGTAGAAGGCAATATTTTCTTCTTTCTGGATGAACAAAGTTATTTGGTTTCACTGTCTACATAAAATAACTACAGTAGCTCTGGAATTATAATGAAGTAAAGCAACCTAAAGTCCATTTAATTAATAGTTTAAAAAGTATTGTCAGCTGCAAGCAAAATATTTTATATCTAGTTCAACTGAGGAGAAAATATATTTACTCCATGGATTTCAAATGGGTTATTAACTCAAACTAAATTGTCATATTTAGGATTTTTCACAGTGATGGTTTAAGTAATCCAGAATATATAACCTTGCTTAAAAGATTTGAAGCATTTGATGGTCAGCCTATAGTCTACTTAAGGCTGTATTCTTTCTTAGACTCCCCATACTATATTTTAATCTAATATTTAATACTGGTCTGGAAATGGTCCAGAATTTAATTTTTGCTAAGCCCTAATTACAGGCATGCATTTCTCGAATTAGCCTCAAAAAGGTTTACATTTGCTTGCAGACATTTGCTTCCCATTTTTCCATTCTAGCATATGTGAGTTTGCATGTTACTTTTTGATCTGTTACATTTTTTCTCTCGTGTTCTTCAACTTGTAATGCTCAACTTCGTTAATCAGATAATTAAAAATTAATTACTTGCTTAGTCATGACCAATTGCTTTATTGTTTTGTTTGCCTTCAGCATTGCTTTATTCATTGCTTCTTTTTCCATTAAAGGTACTTCCAGATGGAGATGTTTATGGACATCAAGTAGGCTGGACTGGCACGTTTAATATTTGTATTTTTAATCATGATGGTTTTCAGGGGACTTGCAGCCTCTAACCAGGTGGCAGTTACAGCACAGCATTCTACACTTCTGTGCTGGGAGTTATCCTTTTTAAAATATATATTTCCAAAGATTACTACTGTGCTAATCAGAGCAGTTTTTATCTGGAAGTATCCTTATTTCTCTCTCTCCCTCTCCCTCTCTCTCTCTCTCTCTCTCTTTCTCTCTGTACACCATACCCTTTATCATTGCACAACAGGTGTCACCTTCCTGTTTTCTAAGAAAGATGGAGGAAGATGAGAGAGCTCACAAGAAATTGAGAGTAGTACTCAAAGAGCAAATCCATTAACTTCAATTGTATTTTTCTTCTATTTATGTCTGTTGTAAATTTTTATCTTCTTTGATTTCTTTAAGTTTCTACAACTTGTTGTTGTTTTTTCTTTAAAGAAAGTGTTCACTGATGTTGTTCACTTTATTGGGTCTGTCATGTTATCTGAATCCAAACCTGGTTTTTTTTTAAAAAAAGTATCACAAATTCAATGAGTGCATTTTTATTTATTTAATAAAATCTGTTTTCCAGCATTAAAGAACTCCAATACTTAGAATTATACAATGTTAATCTTTAAGACATTGGAAAGATCTGCTTTAAATTCAATGGAATTTTCTGCTAAATCAGTATTTAGCACTATGAGATAATAGACAGATAGATGTCTTCTAAATTAATCATCCTAAATTAATCAGTATTTTAACTGTTAGCAAATTAACTACATATTCAGTAATACTAAGAGAAAATTGAGAAAATATGAATAAAATACTAGTTTCAGAAGAGTAGCCATTTTAGATTTTGAAGCAAAAATAAAGTCTTGTAGCTTTTTCAATTAATAAATTTATTATTCCACATGTTTCTTTGTGTCACAATCAATTTTGTGAAAGGAGATAATATTTAACTTCTTTGAGGCCTCTATTGCTGACCACAAGGTGACGGCCCTTTAGAAAAAGGATTAACAAAGAATTATTTCAGTGCAAAACAATGGAATTGGCATCATAAAAGTTAATTTCTATTTTTCAGGGATTAAACAAAAAGCTCCCAATTACTGCTGTTTAAGTCAGGTCTTTAACTTTAGGTTTATTCAATGGGTACACAATACCACATATAATTTTTACATTTGTTTGTGAACAAATATACACATTGAATTAGTACAGAGTAGTCACCTTGTTAATTGAGTTCATCCTTCATAGCTGATTGCCATGGCTTTCAAATTGTAGGCTTGTAAAATGCTGCGAGAAAAGAAGCCACATATTGTATAGTGAAATCTAGACAACGTAATTCGCTACAAGAACATGGCTTTCTTCTCACTAGATGAGAGGAACCTAGTAGACTCAGGTCTTTCTTCTGAAAGTTGACCTTGAAATACATGGGTTATGCACCTGCACAAAGCCCATTTGGAGTCTTTGAAAGCTTTCCTTATTCTTGTCTGGAGTTCATCCCTTCATTTATACTGCATGCAGCTCATGCAAAACCATCTTTTTTTTATCTGCAGTGATACCATATTTTAGCTCACAATTGTCCTAGAATTTTTTCTTTCTTTTCATTTTTCTTTTGATTCCATCTTCCTCCTCTCGTCCCATGGCCTTAAGATGTTTTTGGCCAAGACATTATTATCCCTCTTCTTAGAAAGCCTTTGGTCTCAGTCATAGAGTCTTAAAGGTTCCATTTCATAAACACCAGCATTATAGAAGTGAATTTCCTTCTCAGCTGGGAACAGTTTTTGCCTATTCTGCCTTGGGGAAGATCAAATGGTAAATTCTTGTAAGCACTGCAAAGCAATTACTAAACAGGCTCACTGCGATTGTTTGTCCCATTTGCGAGCTGTTCTCCGGGAACAAGTGTTCAGAATGGCAGACTCTGAAAGTACTCTATCTCCTTTATCTTTCTTCAAAGCTCCTACCATGTCTCAGAGGTTGTCTAGGAGCTCTTGTCTATTCTCAGTCATGTTCAAGCTCTCTGTCTCTGGCAGAAAATCCCCAGCCCTCTGCTGTGCTGCCATCGGCACTTGATAAACAACCTAAGCTTTTTAAAAGGGCTGCCTTATTTATTTCAAGTATGACACAAAAAGAGTATTGTCATTTCCCCAATACCGATCCCAGCAGCTATAGGTCCTTTTTCACCCTGGTGTGCTACATTTCTAGTATTCCAGTTTCAGGAATCACTGATCTGAACCATCCAACCCCCTTGCTGCCCTTCAAACCCAGTTTCAGAAGGAGTCATTTGTAATAAGACTTCTCTGAGTCTTTGTTCTCCCAGCTTCTCAGATGGCTCAATCTAGATCTATCCCCACCTGTATCTCAAAGTTATCAAGATCAAAGTTAGTTACCTTGCAACTGTGCATCTTATGGTGAATGCCTGTCCTCAATTTTCATTGATCCCATAATGTCCCATTGGATTCCTGGTTCCAAACAGTTCTTGGAGTATTTTCCTTCATCTAAATATTATTGCTTTCATATTATGTTTTTTTTTCCAAATCCACCCATGACTTCAACTTTCTGTGGCATTACTTTCATTCTGTCAGAATTTTTCTGTTCTTCAGCACATATCAAGGGAAATGCGTGAGTTGCCAATCATGCATTGCTACTTCCTCAAATATTGCTGCCTTCCTTACAGTCAATGATTTGACCTGTACAGTTTGGTACTCCTTATCCTCAAATTAGTACAGCTGTCATTAACCCTTGGTTAATGGTAGTCTCTGTAAGGTATCTCCAGATATGTTTACAATACCTCTTTGGTTCTATTGGCTTCTTCATCTGTTTCATTGCTCAATCCCCAGGCTGAGGACTTTGCTCTCCATATTATGAGTAGTTTTGTCCAATAGTGCAGGCTCCAGCAAGTTAAACAATCATCTTAGACCGAGTAGAACCCAATTGGTGGAGGATGTGATTGCTTCTTCAGTTTTTATAACAGTGATTCTTAAACTACAGATAATTATTCCCAAGGAGGTAATTTGGGCATATCCTGGGGATAAATAGGATAATTTATAATTGCTTGTTTATGTCAAATATCCAGTTTGGGACCACTGTTGCTGAGACATTTTATTTAACAAAAGAGTAACAGGGAGGAAGGGGACAGGAGGATTAATGAAATTATTTAAGTGTGGGGAAATGGGTAATTTGGTCAAACAAGTTAAGCGCCCCTGCTTTGTAGTTATATTTCTAGATTTGCTGAAGACCAATATTCATGAGCTAAACTGGTCACTGTATCATCAACTTTTATAGACCCATCTTGGCATTTGAAAATCATTTACAAGGTCTTCATGGCTATACTGTTCATAATTGACCCTAATTGCTGAGCACATTGTAAGCCGCCCTGAGTCTCCGGAGAAGGGCGGCATATAAATCAAATAATAATTAAAAAAAAGACAGAAACTACAGACAAGTTTAGTATTTTCAATTTCATTTGTAAGACTGGTTATCTATGATGCTGCTCACTCCAGACAGAATCTATGACCAAGAGATTGGTCATAGGCAGGAGACTGCCTATAGAGAATATTTGCAGAACATTCTTTCCACATGAGATGGAAGGGGGACTAAGAGTTGAATATTTTCTTCAGAAACTTTCATCATGTGGAAAACTCTATCACTGCATAAAAGATCTGTGTCTCCACTTTTCATATTCCAGAAGTTGTATCTGTATCTTTTGTTTGAATGGGGGCAAAAACATTTACAATGTGAGTAAAAATGCTAATAAATTAAAAATGATATAACATCATTTTTATTCCAAAAGTAGAAGTGAATATAAAGGAATAAAAAAAATGGTTTGGTGTAATTCTGTTTTTAACAAGTTCTGAAAACCAGTGAGTGGTGGCAACCTGATCTCCAAAGAGACTATTTTAGAAAAGCAGTGCTTTCTGACTTTGGTTTTATCTCTTGCAAGTTTGAGACAACAGGCATTTTCCCCCTAGATTATCTGGTTGGTCAGGTCATTTCCAGTTGGATTAGATGGTCTAGTAGGTAGCCAGGTGCCACGCTATATAGGTCAAAACAAGCACTTTAAAATTTACTCAGAAAACAATTGGTAAATAGTGCAGAGTCACAGAATAGTGTTATTTATTTCCAATATCTGGTACCAGGAAGTAAAGAGGCTGCTGCAGTCTAGACTAATTCTAGTTTCCATGTAGTTTTTAAAGACAGCCCAGATAGAATGCATTCAAGTACAATTAAATATCTGCAGCTCTGATCCTACTTGAGCATAAATGCCCCTGATCAAATCTGACATCCTTTAACGGGTTATTCTGGAATAGCTTTTCCAAGCTGAGCTACATTTTGTTTCTATCTCTTCAAACACCAGAATTCTTAAGTGGTGGATAGAATTATTTCTTGCTCTGGTTCAGAACTGATGTATTCAGGGCAAACATGGTGGGAACAGTTGTTAGTTCTTCATCGTTTGGATCTGGGAGAGCAGAGTCTGCTTGTTGCTTTGTCTCCCCCTGGTCCTCCATCCATCTGAGAATATCTGAGCGCATAAGACCACACTATAACAATTGAACAGGTTTGCTGGAAAAAGAGTGAGTAAGCATGCCCTTCTGAGGTTATACACAACAACCTGACACAGTATGTCACCATTTTCAAGAAGGAAATTTTGAGCCTCTGCTATATTTTCAACGTCTTATTTCTTCAACCTGCCTTGCTTCAGAATAATCTCAATATCATTCTTTCCTCTTATAGCAAAACTATTGGTTCACATATACTGATTTTCAAAAAGTCTGTTTTTATATCTTTACTGTGTGCTATCACTATATTTTCCTTGGCTTTAGAGTTGATGGTTACATGTACAAATTTTGATGATATCAAATACAATACCTAGAGGTTTTTCACCCTAAGGGCATCACATCTATTGCATTGTATCTTCATCTCCTTGGTACCATATCTTCTTTCTAGATGACTGGCACTTAGTTGGTCCATCATGTATCATGATTTTTGGCCACATTTCTCATGTGCTTCTCTTTTTACAGTAACTTGAGATTTGGGATCAACTATGAGAAGTTTGGCTTCATTTAGTCCATCCTTGCCATTTCTGGCAAGTTACAGTCACAGTATCTTTTTTTAACCTTATTCCTGAACAATGGTCATCATCATATATGTATCTATATGCAGGTGCAAGGCACATCTTTCTTCTTTTTACATCCGAGGTAACATACTAAAGATGTTTTCATATATTAGTGAGCTAGGGGGTTGGTACCGCATCCCCTTTGAGGAGTTCTTCCAAGGTAGAACTGCCAAGATAGAATAAAAAAAAATGCTGTGGTTTCTGCTACATAAACAAGGTGGTACAAAGTTCATCCCATTTTTATATCTCACTAAATAACCCATTACTGCTTAGGCTTATTTTATAGATTTTCCTTACCATATCCTTCAATGTCTTCAATAATGGCACCACTTCTAATGTACTTGAAAAGCTCTTAACAATTTAGGAAGAAATTCAGAGTTGTATCTGCCTTGAAAGTAGCCTATGTTGAACTATACATCACAGTCAAACATCAACTTTATGTATTATGTATTATCTCATAACTTTTATTTATCAAATTTCTACATTGCCCATGTCACCTAAGTGACTCTGGGCAACTTACAAGTTTTTTTTTTTTTAAATATCAATAAAATGGTTTATGATAATGTTTGTCATTAAATATTTTGATTTTAAAATTTCAATTCTATAGTAGTCATAGGAATGATGCCTGAATAATGTTTGCCTTCTACTTAAACTAAATAGCATCATTCCAAAGAGACAAGTATTTATTTTTTTGTCCTTGCCAGACTAACTTAAAGATTAGGTGTTTCTTCCCAGTTGGTATCCATACTTAATGCTATCCTTCTTCCAGAGGGATGGTAGGCACAGGGGTGAAATTCAGCAGGTTCTAACAGGTTCTGGAGAACCGGTAGTGGAAATTTTGAGTAGTTCGGAGAACCGGTAAATACCACCTCTGGCTGGCCTCAGAGTGGGATGGGAATGGAGATTTTGTAATATCCTTCCGCCAGGAGAGGGGAGGGAATAGGGATTTTGCAGTATCCTTCCCCTGCCATGCCCATCAAGCCACGCCCACAGAATCGGTAGGGAAAAATTTTGAATTTCACCCCTGGGTAGGCAACTAGTGGGACACAGCCATTACTTTCTTTCAATACTGTCTCCTAAAATGCTACTTTTAGAGGCATGTCATTAGTTAGTTCTTTGGTAGATCATCATATGACTATCAGATGATTCTGATGCTAATAGAGCTAACTTATTAGTGTGTGTGAAACATAGATACCACAATGAATAGAAAATATAACTGATTCACCTCTAATAGAAATTATTTGAGTGGTTGCTAATTAATTCACACAATTGTCTTCCTACTCCACTTGATGTTTGATATTATCTCAGGAATTGAGATTCAGTCAGAGCCATGCTTGGCCATATCTTGTCATAGTTCAGGGGACTCACACATTTTTCTTTAAGCACTTGAAGATTCCTAATGGACTCTGAGCAAGTGTATAACCTGTGTAGCTCATCTTTTCTTCGTAAAAGTGATCACTGTGGATAATTCTCAGTGTCTTGTACTTTTTTTTTTTACCCATACCACTCCCTGCTCACCTTTCCCAAAACAATGGCTTACGTGTACAATATTGCATTCCTTTGATTGTATTCCACGAATCACAAAGTACTGTACAACAGTGAATGTGTTTTTCTTTGCTGTTAAAATTCTCAGCTATTATAATTTGGTTATTTTTTTTTTCAAAATGTGCACATATACACACACACACATATATATATATATATATATATATATATATATATATATATATATATATACACATATATATATATATATATATATATATATATATATATATATATATATACACATACACACACACATACATACATACATACATACACATATCTATATGTCAATACAATAGCTTAGCAGTTTAGAACAGCAGTACTCATAGTTATGAAAGGGCTAACCAATAAGAGATACCTGCTTATTTCATAGCTATGGAGAAGAAATATTATGTGCCATTTCACAGTAAGAGAGCATTTTCCTCTTTTGCACAACCAGTGAAGATACTGAAACTCTTTTTACCTTACGTGAAGTCTTTAAAAACACAATACTTTTAATAAAATACTGCATTTTCAAAGAAATATTTCTAATATCTTGGGAGAAAATAGCACTCCATACCCACACCTCATTCAGAATCATCTATCTATCATTCAGAATCAAATCTCTTATATAGTTCCTATTAACCTCTCCCTTTGAAATGCCAAATTGACCAGAATTGGTTTATAATTTATATCGATCCCATTACAGGAGAATTTGGTGAAGTTTATAAAGGGCGTCTGAAACTGCCTGGCAAGAGAGAAATTTATGTGGCTATTAAGACATTAAAGGCCGGCTATTCTGAAAAACAACGACGGGATTTCCTAAGTGAAGCCAGCATCATGGGTCAGTTTGACCATCCAAATATTATTCGGCTGGAGGGGGTTGTAACTAAAAGTCGGCCAGTGATGATTATCACAGAATTTATGGAAAATGGAGCCCTGGATTCTTTTCTACGAGTAAGTACAATAGCGTTTTTAAGTGATAATGGACTGGAAATATCTAATGAGATCTGTTGCTATTGTAGGGATGGTGGTGCAGATTAAGTCATCTCTTTAAATTAATAATTCTAAAATAATGTTTAGAACTGTCTCATTCTTCTCATAATGAAATCACATGTCTTGAAAGAGTCCACATTTTATTTCTTCTTAGCAAATTCAATTGTGAGAATTGAAATATATAACCTTCCTTCCAGTCCTTGGCCCTTCTGCTATTAGAATATAATTTTTCTTGGTTTTGGGCAATGGAATCTGCTGGGGGTTTTGCACATTCTCTTAGCTGGATTTTTTGTTCTTCAGCTTTTAAAGTTTCCTTTTCATTTTTCTCTCAACACTTTCCTTCTTTCACTAGCAATTTTCTCTAGTTCTTGTTTTTCTCTTTTTCTCTATTTCTTCTGAATTATCTCACTTCCTCTAATTTATGCCTATTCTATTAAATTCCCTGAATCAGCCTCCCTCCATTTCCAACCATTTCTTTCCTTCTTCATCAATTTTGGAGAGACTTCTATTCCCAAGCTATTTTCTAGTTTTTGGACACATGAAATATGCTTATTTCTGTGCTTTATTTTTCACTGTTACAGCAAAATGATGGCCAGTTTACGGTCATTCAGTTGGTGGGAATGCTACGAGGGATTGCAGCTGGCATGAAGTACCTTGCAGAAATGAATTATGTCCACCGTGATCTTGCAGCCAGGAATATCCTGGTCAACAGCAACCTGGTCTGTAAAGTATCTGATTTTGGCCTCTCTCGCTACCTGCAAGATGACACATCAGATCCAACTTATACCAGCTCTTTGGTAGGTAGTTTGCATGTAAGAATGCCTGTGGAGCCTGTGGAGATTAACAGGTGTTTTCATTAATTAGCTTCCAGCCTCTTATAATAATTTACATGCTACATTGGTTCTCTTGTTCTAATTATTTTTATTAAGTGGTCCAAATTGAATATATATTTTCATTTTTAATTTTTGGCTAATAGAAGGCCAAAATTCATTTGAACACATATTGCAAGAGACTGTCCTGATCTCAAGTAGGTATGATCCAAAAAAAAGAAAGAAAGAGATTAGGTCTGCTCTAAGCATATGGGAATTAAGCCATGAACAAACAGGTGATCATAGCAGATGGCAAATCCAAGGGAATAACAAAATAATACTTATCATTAGGACTTGTGATACGCTCAGCACAGCAGCCACCACAAAGCCATTCAACTAAAAAATGAAATTTGTGAAGACACTGGAAATCTGTTCTTCCTGAAACTTATGTTGTTTCTGAGATCTCATACAGTTTCCTCTGTAACATCTCAGATTGCCGACAGCTCATTAAATTTAGATTTACATATTGCAAAGTATAATGAATCTCAGTGGTAAGATGGTATTGGATATGACCATGATGTTATTACCATTTGTGTATACGAAGCATCCATGGGATTCTTCCTCTTTAATAAAGGCAATAAATGGTCTGCTCAGGGCAAGTATGCCAAATGGAGTTCAAATTAAACTACTAAAAACAAAGCAAACCAGGATTCCTGATTCTTGATTTAAAATATGGCTTAAGAAAGTTCTCTTATCTAAGAAAGTCACAACAAACTTCTAAATCACAACAAGTTTAGCTATTACTATTGGAACATATTTGCGAGTGATTTAGGCGGTTTCTCCTTGCGTGTTCCTAAAATCAGCTGCTGGTGTCTACAAACATGGCCAGTGTGGATGAACAACAGCTACTGGTTATTAGCAGGTTTATTCAGTCATCAAGATCACTTATTCAGTTCTGTTTTGTAGATTTCAGAAAATACATTTGAAATGAAGCTAATGGATCATCTAATTTTGCATATTCTATACTTGAATCATCCTATATTTAAACAGCCTGTCAAACTGTTCCCTTAAGACAGGGATACTCATGAACTACTACCACTCATGAATAGCTGTACTGTTTCTGTTTTGTTATTTTCTTTCTTTCTTTCTTTCTTTCTTTCTTTCTTTCTTTCTTTCTTTCTTTCTTTCTTTCTTTCTTTTTGCTTCCCAACAGTTGCAAATAATATTATTGGGATATGTGGGTCATGTTTTTGTCCCGTTTAGGAAGATATTAAAAATTTAAAATTATGCCTTGGACTTGCAAATGCTTTTTAAAAAATCTTTAACACACACACACAAACACCCCGAGAAAACAAACAGCACAGCAGCATTTTGGGGTAGTAGTGGTGATGTATTCTTTATAGATTGAAGTGATTCAAAAAACCTTTGATGCCAAAGAAAAAGATCAAAAACTCCCATTACAGATTGTTCCATAGACCCCAAATATGATGGTGGTAATCCAATGGGCCATGCTTCGCAGCCCTTTCCAGATGACACAGGAACACTCAGAAAAGCAATCAAAGATGTTGTTCCAGGATCTTTTCCCTTTTTTGGCTGATTTAAATAGCCAACTCCGGTGCAGGCAGCCCATCACAAAGAGTGAGGCTGCCACTTCACAGGTTGTTGAGACAGGCATTGCTCTTGTCTCCTTTCAGCCCTGCATGCTCGTGGATCGGGAGGAGGGGGTAGCTCCTCCTCCTTATCTGCACTGGCCACTGGCAGCTCGATCTCTGCCTAAAACACAGGTGAAATTCAGCCGGTTCTCACCAGTTCCAGAGAACCATTAGTAAATTGCTTAGGCAATACAGAGAACCGGTTAAAAATAAAGTGCAAAAGAGGGCTCTCTCTCTCTCTCTCTCTCCCTCCCTCCCTCCCTCCCCCTCCCTCCCTTCCTTCAGTTAATAGCTCCACTTAACAGTTGCAGCTGGAATACAGCCGATACACACTGAATCAAGTCAATAAACAGAAACTGACAGGATTAGGGCAGGGAAACCCATCAATCACCCATCTAAGGATGGGATTAACCTCTTCCCTTCAGGAAGAAGGACAAGATTACAAACAAAATTATAAAGAGTATTAAGTAACACTTCTGTGATCAGCTGATACTCCTTGGAGTTTCCCAAGACCTTTTATAGCTGCTGCAGTGTTGGCTACTTCTTGTTTCTTCCTGGGGGAAAGCTACAGGAGGGGACAATGATGCAGCTTAATCATACAGACCATGAATTTAATGCATGTGTGGTACAGCCAGCTGTGAAGCACCCAATTTAGAACATGGGGAACATAGAATAATAGAGTTGGAAGGGTTAATGGCTTTTGACAGCATGGCCAGGCTTTCAATTAGCCTGAGTAGCTGCTCTTAGTTTCCCTCTCAGCTGTTGCGTTTGCTTTGGGGTTGACTTTTTTTAAGAAGGGGAATGGCTGTTTTAGGTTTTCTGCATTGTTTTAGTGGTTCCTGGCATTGTCCTTTTGGGGTGTACTTCCCTTGCTCTTTTTGAAAGCCTCTAGCGATGGAGCACCCACAGCTTCTGAAAGCAAGCAATTCCATTGGTTGATTGGTCTCACCCTTAGGAAATTTCTCCTTAGTCCTAGGTTGCTTCTCTCTTTGGTTAGTTTCCATCCATTGTTTCTTGTTGTGCCTTTTGGTGCTTTGGAAAATAGATTGACTCCCTCATTTTTGTAGGAACCCCTCAAATTTCCTGACAGAACAATTAATCAGTGGAACTTCCACTTGCCTCCAGAAGTTGTAAATGCTCCAACACTGGAAGTTTTTAAGAAGAGATTGGATAATCATTTGTCTGAAATGGTGTAGGGTTTTCTGCCTAAGTAGGGGATTGGACTAGAAGACCTCCAAGGCCCTTTCCAATTCTGTTATTCTATTCTATTCTATTCTATTCTATTCTAAATATTAGAACAGTACTATTTTATTGTATTATTTTATTGTGAGTTGGACTAAGAAGAAATTTCCTAAGAGTTAGACCAATCAAGTTGGCCATGCCCACCCAGTCACATGACCCATTTCCCACAAAAAACATTGGGAGCCACAAAATCTGGGCAGGTGTGACTGGGAGAGGGGTCATGTTACTGGGAGTGATATTGAGTTGGCCACATCCGCTCACCCAGTCACATGACAACCAAGCCACACCCACCCAGTCACATGACCACCAATCCACGCCCACAGAACCAGTAGGGAAAATTTTTGAATTTCACCCCTGGCCTAAAGCCTCAGAGCTCATTTATTGTAGCTGTATCTCTGCCTGCCTCACTCAGCCAGTAGTTCATCCGGTCACTCCAACTGTGATTGCTCCATTGAGCTGGAGTTTGCTGCTGCCACATCTTCCCTGGAGGTGCCAGGGACCGACTTGTTCTGCTCCAAACTAGCATCTGGGGAGAGGTCTCGAGAAGGCGCAGTCAGAGAGACCATCTCATGAACACATCTTTGCCTCTATAGTCTTCTGCATAGCTACTAAAGCAGTCCAGTTCACAAAAAGGGAAGCGCCTTGCTGTGTAAAGTTTGGAAGCAGCATTCATCCCTGGCATTTTCTAAATTGAAACTGAAGCCGACAACTAGTACGACTCAGTGGTGAAATCCAAATTTTTTTACTACCAGTTCTGTGGGTGTGGCTTGGTGGGCGTGGCAGGGGAAGGATAGTGCAAAATCTCCATTCCCACCCCACTCTGGGGCCAGCCAGAGCTGGCATTTGCCAGTTCTCTGCACCACCCAAAATTTCTGATACTGATTATCCAGAACCTGTCAGAACCTGCTGGATTTCACCCCTAGTATGACTAGTTTCTTGCAGAATAAATTCCAGTAACTAAAATAATAATTGAGAAAAAAAGGAGAAGCCAAATGGCATAAACTATTATAAATGTTACAGGTCTCCCCCAAAACCCATGTTTAACTGGTAGAATTGGAGTGATGTTACTTTACACCAAGAATTTCAGCAGTGAACCAGAAATACATGGCTTAACTATAAATCCTGTTTCCTTTCTAAACTGCATTTGCAGTCCATTTAAATAAATCAGTGTGAGCTTAAATTGTCCACTGAACATAATAGGACCTCTCCTACGTCTGGAGAAAAAGCAGATTTTTATCATCTGTATTTTTATAGTAAATTTATGCCCCAAATGGCCTTTCAAGCAGCTGGAAAGTGATGCAGTACTTGCAATTACATCATTGCTTCCCATGGTAGATTCATAATTCTGCTCTTGGGGGATAAGTAACAGAATGGCCTTCAAGCAAATGTCTCTTTTTAAACGGAGCTCTTATTACAGTGGCCAAATCTGTTCTGTCATCCACTTTTAAAAAGGACATGAAAACCAAAATAACTAATTCTACCCTGGGTCAATGTTTTATTTTATTTGTTTTTCCTTCCTTTTATATTAAGCTTAATTGTGTCATGAATGTTTGATCTGAAAGCAAGGTCATTAAAAATGAAACCAACCACTGTTAACTATTACTTATCTCTCCTTAGTGGTCAACCTGTTCAGGTTATATGATACTCATCTATTAACCATGATGGCACAAATAAAGTGTGAAAATATAGAATTACGTTCCTGTTGGGATAGTAAACAGATCAGCCAAAAAGCAAATGTTTCTGCTCATATCTTAGAATAGTGCTCCTTAGTTAATACTAACAAAAGAGTAACTGCACATCTTTCCCAACTTGGTTCTAACTACAATGCAAACCTCACCTGACTATATCTTTTTTTCCCTGACTTGTCTCTCTGACATAATCTTCATTTTATTTCCAGCTCATGAATGACACAGCCTTAGGTTACTTTTAGCTGTCAAAGCTTATTCTGATACTGTATCACAACAGCCTCATGGTGTGTAACATATGTTAGACTTTGCCACCAGTTAGTTTGGAAGGAAGTTAAATGACTGCAGTAAGTGAGAACAGAGACAATAGAGACAGGATAGGGATCAATAATGGGAACAGCAAATTTCATGCCGGGATCTTTTTTTTTTTTTTTTTTTTGCTGGCTGCAGAATGGATGGACAGCACTTCAGTGAAACAATGGGAAGGGCTGTGAATCTAATTTCCACAGTCCTCTTACAAGTAATCTTCTGACAAGATTGACATGACTCTCTCCCAGGCAGTGTCTGCAGGCAATTCTTTATACATTCTCCCCATTTTCAGCAACCTAGCTCCTGACAGAATGGGCAAAAAATCAACAGAGCTAGGCTTGGTAACAAACTTTGATTAGATGAAAATTTTCTTTTGATCAGAGAAAAAAAAATCCCATCCAGCTCTTGTACTATTCACTTTTGCCGTCATCTCTGTCATCAATTCTGCCTGTTAACCATCACCCCACTCCGTCACCCACTTTTCTTTGTAAAAGGAGATAAAGTTGCATGCAATTGTTTAGGCATCTCTGGTCAAATTACATGTTGCAATGAATTCCTCAGTGAAAAGAAGTTCAGGTAATTGCCAATGTTAAAATCTTTCTGCAAATTTGAATTCAGATGTACTATTTATTGTTTGCAGGTTCAAAATAAGAACACAGCAATTGAAGTGGATATAAATGTGTGAACCTTTCAGTCATTACTTTGTAATATTTCCTTTGGAAGAAATAAGGTTTCCAAGGTTATTAGTAACTTTATTTCGATTTCCAAGAAACAAGGTTACTAAGAGTCTTTTTAGTCTTGCATTGTACTCTTCCATCTAGAAGTCTTCTAGATTAAAAGTATTCTATGACATCCTTGTTTCTTCCCACAGATTTTTAGCAATGTTCATATCTAGGAACAATGAAGGTCATTGAAAAACTTTTCTCTTTTTTTCCTGGGAGAACTTCATAGTTGATTGGGGACATGTTTCAGACTGCTGTCTTTCTAAAATATCCATTTTCCTTTCAGCTTCACCCCCACCCCAAAAGATTCACTGAAACACACAATTTGACCACAGATGTCTACACTTTTGCACACAATTGTTTATGTGGCAGCAGATGCAGAAGAAAGAGATGAAAATTCTGCTCCTCTTTCTCTGATGCTCTGATGTAATAACTATTTGGTGGGATAGCAATGGGGATTGTAGTCCCCGTAAATTTGTGGCAGTAGATACTTTTTTCCTAAATAGAAGCAGATAATTCATTGATCAACACAAGGAAAATTAGTTCACTTCTGATTTCAGGAGTGAACTAATTCATACCAATTTCCTATTCAAACCACTGAAATACTTGATAATAATCCCCCCCGTTTACTTATGTTGCACAGTCCTGCTTCTACTATGGAACAACTACTCCTTTTGCCTGCTCAAATAACTGCTTAAGTACAACAGAGTGGCTAGTTTTATCATCTAGATTAGTGTTTCTCAATTTCATCAGCTTTTGAAATGTATGGATTTCAACCCATGCTGGCCAAAGAATTCTGGAAGTTGAAATCAACATATCTTAAAGTTTCTGAAATAGAGGAATATTGGATCTACTTATTTGGGTTACATGTTCAGTAATGTTCAGGTAAAAGTGATGACTCCCAGGCTTTGAATTAACTGAGTTTACTGATTCAAGCAGATGGCAACCCAAAGCCTTTTCTTCTGTCTGGAGCTATTTCTACTCATAATTCATTAATACTTAGGGAGATCCAATGCAATGTACAAAAGCATAAAACTATTTTCTGCATTAGGAAAAAATTGTTCAAAGTTGTCTTTCTTGACACTTCATTCAGGCCATAGGTTGGTCCCTCTTTCTAATACTGATCAGATGTGCTTATTCAGTAATTGGTGTTTAGAAATGTATTTTGAAGTATAATGAAAGGGTACCTAATACCATATTAGCTACTACATATCACTGGCAGTATATAATTTTAAACCGAAAAACTGAAACACTGGTATGCTCAGCAAATTGTGATGAGCTGTCATATATATGCCAAAGGCAACCCCAGTTCCTTGCCCTTCCTTTGGTATCTTTCTTAGGGAAAGTGCCAGAAGCAAAAAAAAATATTCGTGTTTCACAATACAAACAGCCAAGGGTGAGGAAGTGTCACTCAGGATAAAACCCTGAAGACCACTGCTGCTACTTGATATGCAAAGAGGTGCAAGGAAACAGCTGTTGCTGTCAGCCTTTGACGTCTGCTGTTGGGCCTAGAAGTGGGAGCACACCTACATATTCTCTGTAGGAAACATGCTGTCCTTTTCAAAACACTTGCTCGTCCATTGGCATTCATGAGCATGAGAATTCGTTAGCTACTGTTTATGCTGAACACCACAGCTGGAATAAATGTCACAATGCTAATTTCTTTTCTCATGCAGAAAGTACTAGTGTCTCTGCCACGAAACAAATGAAGCATATTAGCTACAGCCATAAACCAAGCTCTATTTTCGGGTTTGCATTAATACAATAATTTGAACTAGTTGTTTTATTTCCATCTATAAAAACCTGGAAATTACGATTCACAGAAACCATTTACTACTTGTACATGGCAATAGTTTATATCAAACTATTGTTAAAAACAATTGCAGTCAATGTCCAATCTTCATAGGCCTGCTAACTTCCTCTGAGATTCTCACTGGATTTAGAACCAATTACTTATTTCCAGGTCAACTTCCCTCATAGGAGTGTGGAGAGAAAAATGGAGGAGGGAATAATTATGCTGCCTTGAATGTATAAGGGAAAGACAGGATATATATCTGATGAATAACAATCATACTTGAATTGCTTCTGGAAAACATTTTCCTGCTCTCCACAGAACAGATTATGTGTAACTCAGTCGTCTTTAGAAAATAATTGGTATTACATATTGCATTAAACCATCTGTTTCTTAAGCATGATTTATTTACTAAATCACAATTGACTTGGATTAATATGCTAAGATACAAACTATGAAATCATTAGATCATGGCCTAGTATTGGTTTTGCAGCACAACCCTTCTCTTTTTAAATGCAATTTCTTAGCAACTAAAGGTTTCAGTAGGTGGAAAGTAGGACACCAGGTATATTCTTCACCATAAAGAAATAATTTGAAAAGTTGGAATCATGTGTCCAACACTAAAAATCTGCCATTGGTATTAATATGGTTGTACTGATAAAATAATCCTCTAACAGAATCAAGTGTAATTTGTGAATGTTAATGTGAACATTTGAAAAATGTTGCCTTCATATGCAAGAGAAAGAAGGAAAAATGTGCCCTATCTGTGGAACACATCATTAAATTGAATTCCTTTCCTTCTAAGACTATGCTGCTATTGGAAATTGCAATAGATTTAGACAAATACCTACCTATTAAATAAGTTAAACCTTATACAGGGAACCTTTGGTATATTACACTGCTTACAGTTAACTTTATAATTACTGTCTTTCAGGGTGGGAAAATTCCAGTGAGGTGGACAGCACCAGAAGCTATTGCCTACCGTAAATTCACCTCCGCCAGTGATGTATGGAGTTATGGTATTGTTATGTGGGAAGTAATGTCATTTGGAGAAAGACCCTATTGGGACATGTCCAATCAAGATGTACGTTTATGAAGCGTTCTGAACAACATAGTAAAGCTTGATTTCTCTAGCAGTGGAAAAAAAGCACTTGTTAAATACTAGTATGCTGAAGACTGAAATAATACACCTGTATAACTAGGAGGAAATTTACAGCAGATCCTTGTATAATACCTTCCCATTACCAGCCAGCATGTTAGATGTATGTCTGTCTTTCATGTTTTTATGTCCAAACATATCCATATTAAGTAGGATATTTGCCTGTTAGGGGTCTTCAGTGGCTTCAGGCAGGCATTTTTCTGAATACAAAAGTTATTTTTAGTTATATGTAATAACTCTGGAGAATGAGGGAAGTATTTTTCCCCAACTAAAACTCTAACTTCTCTGACACTTCTTTTCTTTCTACCATGCTCTGTGATGTGGCCTCCATCTTGCTCACCAGTGATGAATGAGACAGGTTTAAGTCCTCCTTAGCTGTGGTATGTGAAAGCATCCCTCCCCGTTTTATTTTGATACCATCCAAGTGCACCCTCAAGAGTGTGAACTGTCTTAGGCTTTCCCACCCATATGGAATAACCACAAGAGCCATAGTGGCACAAGGGTTTAGAATGCAATATTGCAGGCTAATTCTGCCGACTGCCAGCAGTTCGATTCTCACTGGCTCAAGGTTCACTCAGCCTTCCATCCTTCCAAGATTGGTAAAATGGGGACCCAGATTTTTGGGACAATATGCTGACTCTGTAAACTGCTTAGCAAGGTCTGTAAAGCACTGTGAAGCAGTATATAAGTCTAAGTGCTATTGCTGTTGTGTAATCAGCAAGTTTATTCTGTTTAGGACTGACCAGCCCAGTTTCACCTTAATGGCTATGAAGTGGGAGTGGGAGGTAGTCCCATTTCCACTTGCAAAGAAGACTGGAGTTAAGATTAATGTTCATTAACAATTTAGCAACCAATCATTCATTATATTATATAGTAACATTTTTACACGTATTGTGCACATGTAGTTTTAAAAAGAATCCCATCTGTACTACTTAAACCACACTTTTCTCTCTCTGAGCATAGTGAGATGTCTGCTTTACATACTAGTCCCTTTCAGACATAACTCGTTGGCTCCAGCCCCGGTGCATGCTGAGCTATAGAGAGACACTTGGCAATACTAACTGGGAGATACAAAATCCTCAGCTGCTGCTGCTGCTTCTTTCCCCTTCAACGTCTACTATAAGAAAGAGCATCAGAGATGAAAGAAACGGAGAAGTGGAGAAGAACTGGAAAGACCAGCCAGCCAGTGTGTGATAATTGGACACTAAGAGCCTGGCAGGCTTTTGAAATATTTCAGAGACTTTATGAGCGAGGCGTTGAGCCTTGATGAAGTTCTGCATTACAGCATGATAGGCAGAAACAGAGAGTGTAGCGGCTGCTAACAGGGAAGGGACTGCCTTTATCTTGAAGCAACAGAAGTCAAATTAACCTCTGAATACCCTTTTTTTTCCTCCAGAGCCAGCACTGTTTTGTTGCTCCTTGTGTGCAGAGGGCAAGCTATTTCCTTTATTCCTGATTGCATGCTATTAGTGTGCTGAAATGATTCAACTTTAAAAGGGCTCAATTTTTGAAAGTAAAGAAGGTAGAAGTGCAAAGGGTAGGACCGCTAAATTGGAATTCCAGTTGGTTTAATCTAGTTTTGAATTCATAATATTGAAAATATTCCATAGTACGTATTTCAGTCCAGATAAGCAAACAATAGAAATCCTTACCAAAGCTTTTTTACAACTTGTGGTTAGGAGAAAGCTGTAGGAGCATCTTGAGGTATATGCCAATTTACACCACTAATGTTGTTATTTTTGCATTGTGGTTTGATTCTCCATTGGTGCCAGTGAAAATTTTCCTGTTAGAACAAATATGTGTTATAAGTGGAACTGATTAAGATTAGGATCCTGGCAATCACACAGGATTTAAGTTTTCTGTGTCACAGTCAAAAGTTAGATGATTCATCCCACATCAGGGTTGCTACTAGCATAATCAACAATATGATTAACATTCCAGCTCATTGCCATTATTGTATAAACCAAAAAACATCTTTATAAAACATGCCAAATTTGATTCACATGTAAAATTCATTAATATTTCCATGGTGGCTTATTAAGATATTACTTGTTTTCTTTTCTGTTTTCTTCCTTTGGCTGGGGATTTGGCATTGGTAATTTTTGGGACGTAGCCCTGATGTCAAACATGGAAAAATAAATCTATATTTGATAAATAGTAAATTCTGAGAAAGATGGAGAACACATCTGAATATTAAATCCTGGAACTTTCTGTTCTTTTTATGTTTGTGGACTTGGAACCAATCACTCAAAAACTGCAATAAAGTGAATAAATATGGAAGGTTATGCATGTGTAGCAGTGGTTTAAGAGACTTACATTCTGATTAAAATATTATTTTAACTGCAGTGATTTTCAGAATTATATCTCTTTCTACTACATTGACACATTTATATTATATGTGTATATATATTACATTTATAGGTAATTAATGCAATTGAGCAAGATTACCGGCTCCCTCCACCTATGGATTGTCCAGCTGCTCTACATCAACTTATGTTAGATTGTTGGCAGAAAGACCGCAACACAAGGCCACGGTTTGCTGAAATAGTTAATACTTTAGATAAAATGATCCGAAATCCAGCGAGCCTCAAAACTGTGGCTACCATCACCGCTGTGTAAGTTTCCACATGTGTTACTACGTTTTAACTGGGGCCTAAAACACCATACTGAAATTTACAAATAAAGCTGTAGCTAGTTAAAGGATACTTGGAGGATCAATTATCCCTCTTTAATTAATTAATAAATTAAATTTAAATAGATGTGCAAAATATCAAATCTCTTTATAAGTTCCTTTCTGGCAAAGTAGCATTAGATAATTTATAGCTTGATTAATGCAAGTTTCTAATTGCTATTGCAAGTAATGACCAGGATTTCTTTTTCAGTTGCTATTACAATAATATTAAAGAATGTTAAAAACCCCAAAGTATCAATAACTGCAATTACTTCAGTTCCACCAATTAAAATAAATGCTTGCTCATTCCAGTTTGCCTAATCAATTCATAATGACCATACTAATAGCAACTCTTTTACTGTCTATATTTCTGCTCTAAATTAAATCCCATCTCTGAGCCACTGCTTGCCTTCTCTTCCAGGCCTTCTCAGCCACTGTTGGATCGCTCCATCCCAGATTTCACTGCCTTTACCTCAGTAGAAGATTGGTTGAGTGCCATCAAAATGAATCAGTACAGAGACAGTTTTCTAACTGCTGGCTTCACATCCCTTCAGTTAGTTGCACAAATGACATCGGAGTAAGTGGCACCTTCTCATTTCCCTATTTGCTTCAGTGATGGAAGAAGATGAGATCAAGCTTTTCTTTTCATGCTTCAAATAATCAACAAACTAAATCTGGATCAGAGACAGGATTTTGGCACCAGGAATATGTTAATCTTCTGAAAACAGGCAGAAATATACTGTTGATTATTGTTTTGGTTGGCCTTTGAAAATTAACTGATTTATGCTTCTTTCTTGTATTTTATGGTCATTTTGGTTTGGTTTGGTTAGATGACTTTATTTAAACTATTTAATGAATGTTTTATTTATTATTAACTGCTTTAGGAATTAATATAAAAAATCACCAATGAGAAACACATATAAAAGTCAGGGAAATAGATCATTCATAACTTGCAAGGCAACATGCCTCCATCCAAAAGCACCTTCACACTCTTCCTTTGCTTCTCTTTGCAGGCCTGTGTGCCTCCATAATCTTTTTGTGCTCTGGAAATTCCCACAAGTTCCTTGCATCTGCCATACTATATATTCATCAGTGTCATGCATCTTCACACTCTCTTCAGTCAGCACTTTATAGTTTTTAGAATTCACTAACAAGCTGCCAGCTTCCAACCAGATCTCTGAGAAATTTGAATTCATAAACTGGGGAGTGTCTCACATTGTTCCTTTCATTCAGAGATTACAACTCTACCAATTAGTATAGAGGACTCATGTAAGTGACCAGTTAATTTAGAAATTAGACATTTCTCAGAAATTCTTCTCCTTGCTTACATTATCGTCATTTGTAACACCAGAGTAGCTTATCGTCTCAAGATACCTGGGAAGTTAGCATCTTCAAGGAAGAGAAAACTAAGTCCTTTACTTAAGCATCTATTTGTTATGGGTTTGAGAAAAACTACTCTTTTGAATCATGCACATATACATTCATTCAACATCTTTTATCAGTGCTGATTGCTCATCTTAGGATATCAGCTTCACTTTCTGCAACTGCATTTTGAATTTGCCAGCTCATGTATCTTGTCCATATAAGCAGAGGAGACAAAGACCTCTGCTCCACAAGTATGATCCTGTCTCTTATCTTTTGCAGAGATCTTCTAAGAATAGGGGTGACTTTAGCCGGACACCAGAAGAAGATCCTGAGCAGTGTCCAGTCTATGAGAGTACAGATGAGCCAGTCACCAACTGCGATGGCATGATGCTGCGTGTCTTCTTACAACAATGGGAAAAAAGAGGGGAGGACAGAAGAGGGTTGGATGTGGGAGGGGAGGGGAGGCTGACAAGGCAGTTGTGATGTCTATAGAGATTGGATAATTGTTTGAGAACTCTTATGCGCTGCAGACAAAGAATATATGGAATTTGTTTCTAAATGGCAAATTATGTTTCTCACACCAACAGAAGCACATTTACTGATGCCATGGGAAACAGAATATAAATAAGTATAAATATGTACAAATCAAATATTTAAAAAAAGTGAAGAAAACCAATGTGTTTTGGGAAGAAAAGAGACTTCAGTCCTACCACCAGTGAGCAGTAGTCAAGAGGCCAATGGAGAAGAAAGAGGCAACCAGAGCAACAATCTTCAGCAGTCAGATTCCCTTCCTTCTCTTCTTTAGTTATTCTTCCAGAGTCATTCTTATCCACCCATTTCCCTCTTTGGCTCATAAACTATGGCAAATGTTGTTCAACAGTTCCTACAGTTAACTATAAGAACATCAAAACATTGTGCCATCAGTTACAAAGGACTTCACTGACCACTGCATGGGGGATCCAGACCAATCCAGTTAATGTCTTCATATTGAAGAAGAGTTGTACCTTCAATAGAAAATCCTGTTTTTTCTTTTGCTTGCATTTTTCTGCAAAAGGGAAAACGATATCCTCATGGGAAAAAAAGGGGAAAAAAAGATGTTCCCGCAAGTGCGTGTGTGTCGTCTGTATGTCAGCTTAACTGTGGAGTCACTTACAGCTTATCCATAACAGAAGAAAAAACAACCAAGCTGGACTGGTGGCTGATAATTCCATCCTTTTCAAGGAACTTGGGGATCCATTGGGCGACGGAAGTGATGTGCCTTGCTTTCTGTCTAGTTCAACTGTGCATGGAATATGTGTACTGGGAAATGAAAAGAGAAAAAGAAAGCAAATGAATTTCTAAGGAGAAAGGAAGCAGAAGAGTTCACTGTGCAACAAGGTTTTCATGTAGAACAGTTACGGAATGTTCAGCTGTAAAATCAACTAAGCAGAAGGCTTAGTCCTCCAGTGACCAGAAAAAGATGGCTTGGAAATCTTTAGTTCCATTATTTGGACCTCAGGATTTTGATATATATTGATTTTGGTTTCATGGCATCAGAGGTAGGTTCCTATATCACTTCTGTCCCCTTGCCCACCCTTTTCTTACTAGTCTTTTCTCACTGTTTCTTTAACATTCTAACATGCATTCCACTCTTCCTTTTCTATATTTGATTTTACTGTTAATTACGAGTGTCATTCTTTATTTAAAATACTTAACTTAAAACAGACTTTCTCTGCTTATCTGAGAGTGCTTTGTGAAATAAAATTGCTATTCTTCTTCTGCTAACCCACATAATAGAGTATGTGGAGAGTTTATGCAAAACAATTATCTTTCAGGTAGGCTTTTTCCTAGGCTGGATATATTATCATTTAATTGTTCCACTATCAAAGGAACATAAAAAAATTGTTGGCATCAATAGATTACTTATCCATTTTCCAAGGACAACCTGTATTCTGTCTTTCAGAATCAGATACCATCTATTAAGTCATCTCAGAGAACCAATGCCAAAGAAGACACTGCTAAGAGGGTTGATAGTATTGGATAGTAGTGCCCACTGTCTATATTAGGGCTTGCCCTTCCTTTAAAAGAGCTCAAGAAGTTTTGTGCATGGCTTCCTTGCCATGACTATTGAAGAAGTAAAGCTATGAAAGTGTCGCCCATATCCCACATGCTTGCTACTTATACATGTCTTAACACTTAAGTGTAGCATATGGGAGGAATCTGTGATGCAAGTACTTGTTCCTGAAATATAGGTGTGTGAGAAGATATGTTGATTCCAAGCAGATTATTTCCACAATATTTTGCATCTTTATTATTTTAGAGCATTGCACTGATTTTTTTGGGAGGTGGGGGGGGAGGAAACGGACATCCACATTTTTTTTTTCTATAGCAGCCACTGTTGTTGTTGCCACTGCATCCTCATTGTGGACAATAAAACTGTTATTTACTATAAAGTGGAGTAATGCTATGAAGATAATTCTAATATTTTCTGTTCTGGTCCTTGGTCCTTATGTTATAATCCCCCTCTGAAACTGCTGGTGCTGAGCATTTTCCTCAAAGTGACCAAGACATTTTCCTCAAAGAGTGGCAGGACATTTGATAGAATAGATCTTGTAATCAGTAATTCTTATTTTATGGATAATAACTTTAGCATTTACCAAAACTCAGCAGTAAGCTGATCATTGATTTGTGGTTAGAAAAGATCTGTTTTTATTGTTACTTTGAGATTTTGAATATAACAGGCAGTTATATGAAGTTATGTGCCCTGCAGCTATAAAATGCTGACCAGTCAGAATTAATTCCAGTTATTCCATGGAAAGCTAATGATTACCATTTATCATATGAAGTTGGAACAGGGGTCAAATTGCCTATTATTTTATATTTATACAGTAGTATGCAATTGAATTTGTGACTGTTGCTCTGGGGCCTTCTATAAGTTACATGATCAATTTGTTTATTTCTCCACCAGTTGCTTTATTTCTGACTCATAACTTTCCCCATAGGAAATAAACAAAAACAATTAGCATTGGCACACCAATAAAGGATTTTATTTTATTATTTTATATCTCATACTGAGGGAATCTTAAAGTGAGGCAACTGAGGAAAGAAAAGTTTTTCCCTTTCCAATTAACAGTGGATGGATCATAATCCGATTTGAACCATCCTCTTCAGGTACCCTGGGGCAAATATTTGGGGTCAGGACTATATTTCCAGAAATAAACAGGATCAAGATATCAGGACCAAAACTACGAACTAATAATCACTGTTATTCTAATGATAGCTGTTGTGCTTAGCATCATTATTACTTTTACAGTTACTTTTTCAATACTGCTAGAATTATAGTTATCATCATTTCAATAATATTGTCATAATTCATACTATCAACATTTCATTGTTAATGCTGCCATTTTTATCACCGTTATTTACTTGCATCTTGAAGAAAAATGTCCTACAGTATTTTCTACCAGTTGTCATTTAATTTCATGAACGAAAACTACTTTTAATTCTTTAAGTTCCAAATGTTATTGAAATTCTCATAAGTGGAGTGTGATTATCTTTGTGCTTATTTTGTTTTGAGGTGGCCAGAGGTATTTATGTATCGTATTGTTCGGAGTATAAGATGCACTTTTTTCACCCCTAAAAGAGGGTAAAAATTTGGGTGCATCTTATAGATCGAATGTAACTCCATCCACCCGCCGGCCCCCACCCCTGCCTCCCAGAAATTTACCTCCTTGCAGCAAACAGCAAACAGCTGGTTTCAGCTTCAGCACAGCCTGATTAGCACAAGCAGCTGATTGTCGGTTGGATCAGCCTTCCGGCTCTCAGCTGTTTCAGGCTGCAGGGATTGTCACTGCCTATTGCTGTGCAGGCCTCCGCTGTTTGCTGCAAAGAGGCAAATTGCTGGGAGGCAGAGGCAGATTTTTTTTTTCTTGTGCTAATCAGGCTGTGCTGAAAATGAAACTGAAACTGAAACAGGCTGTTCACTGTTTGCTGCAAAGAGGCAAATTGCTGGGAGGCAGAGGCAGATTTTTTTTTCTTGTTTTTCTCCAAAAAGGTAGGTGTGTCTTATAGTCCGTAGCGTCTTATACTCTGAAAAATATGGTAAATCCTCTCTTTCATTATACAGATAGTCCTTGACCTACAACCATTGACTTAACAACTGTTCAAAGTTATAATAGCTCTGAAAAAAATGACTTGCATTTAAAACCATTGCAACATCACCATGGTAACAATGATCAAAATCCAGCATCTTTTTAACAGCATTGTAGCATCCTGAAGTCATGTGATCGCCATTTGTGATATTCCAGCTGGCTTGTGAAAAGCAAAGTCAATGAGGGAAGCCTGATTCACTTAACAACTGTAGAAATTCACTTGCCAACCATGATAAAAATGAATGTAAAATTGGGCATGTTTCACTTAGCCACCTTGCTTAACAATGGAAAGTCTGCTTCCAATTATGGTCATAAGTCGAAGACTTATCTGTACTGTACAGTCATCTCTTCTTGGTCTGCAGCTTCCCCAGCTTCCCATGTTGTCATTAAATCTCAAAAAACCATATTGCAAGAAAACTGCCATGAAACTTTTTGCACATTAGGAAGTATAAGCAACCAGCGAGGCTTCAGAAAGCAATAAAAATAGTTAACAGAAATTAATAACACTGCTATTGCTAATTATTATATATCTTCAAGACAAATCAAAGCAAACTTGAGAGAGCCTTTTTCATGCTGTATACCTGAATATTAAAAGGCAGATTTCAGCTCAACAACATCACTACTTTTTAAATTATTGGCATTGTACGCCTCTATATCTCTCTGCCTATGGCTTGTTTGCAAAGATTGCAGGAAATAAGAAGCAGAAGGATTTTTTTAAAGGTTTCATTTAAATTACTATATTCTGTTACATGTTTAATGCTGCCATAAACCAGCAACTGAAGTTAATGTAAATTGGGCAATGAAATAGGAGAATTCTCTGGAGGCTCCCTGAAAATCCCTCGGAAGCCACATGCAGTTCAAAGATTACAGTTGTCTTTCCCTGCTTCAGAATGAGCAAAATTCAATAGATCAGCTGTGTACTTTGTAAGTCATGTAATGTTTAGCTCTAGGTGAGCTTCCTTATCAAGGCTGTGCTGCTCTGAAAATGTGATACAGACAGGAGCAATATCGTGTCTCCAGAAAACAAAAGCAATAGGAGGGACCACTTCATTTATGGCGAACGCCTAACACTTTGTTTTTCTTTTTATGTCACCATTATTTTAAGATGTTTGAAAACTTCCCTGCTGCCCAGATTAGAAGTAAATACTAACAAGATACAAAATAAAAGAAATACTTTTTATCTTGCACAGGCTGTCCAGTCTGCACGAAAGAGCCCTGTCCAATAACTTGTCATGAACCCCTTGAAGTAATGGGTGTAAAAATCAGTATTCAGCTATGTTGTCAAACCAAATGCAACATGCATGGAAAAGATGTATTCTGAATATTAATCTTATAAAGAGGCCATTGAAATTCACGCAAGGTCGACTGAAAGAGCCTTTGTGCTCATGTTTTATGACTTTTGCTTTTATTACAATAAATTCAAAAAGTATGAAAGCATGACTATGATGGCTGAATTTATAAACATAACATTTTGCCTGTCTGACTACTCAGTTAATGGAATATATGACATTTTTCTATAGCTCTGAAGCCTTATTTCATCACATCTGTGAAATTTATTAGCCTTTCCTAGAAGTAACAGAGCAATTACCTTATTACCTATCTGGTGATAATAGGAAAATGGCCATTTTGGCTTCTGGCTCATGGAAAGGTAGTCATATACACTGTAGGAAAGATTCAGCATTCTACATTCTTTGAAAAACATAATTTCTTTACAATGCCCTAGTTTGAGAAAAAAGGCAAATTCAATTCATAATAGTAACAGCTAAGAAAATTGATTTTAAAAAATTTCATAAAAACACAAAGACTCAGAGACCTTGAAAGACCATTTAGGCTAGTGTTTCTCAATCTCAGCAATGTCAAGAAATGTGAATTTCAGTTTCAGCAAATCCAACCCCTGTTTAATGCAGACATGCAACATGCATACAAGAATATTCCTAGTAGATACTGCCTAACCTTTCTTTAATACATATAGTGAAGGGGAACTTCTATATGCAACTTTTCAGTTATTTCATGAATGCTATCATATGCTTAGGAGGTTCCTTCAATTCCTTTCATAGGACTGGATTTCTATGGACTTTGATCCTTGTTGCCCTTTTTTGAGCCTGTTCCAGTTTCTCCAAACTTGGCACAATACAGAATATGTAATGTGGCTGATGTAGAATAAAGTGGAACTTTTATATTTTCTTGGATTTTTCTTTGGGAGTGGGGAGTAATTATACTTCTCTTAAAATCCACTTGCCTATTTTGTAGGTAATCACATTCTTGAAACATGTTGCTTACAATCAAGTACCTTTGCAAGATCTTTTTATACAAGAACTATTTTCACAAGAACTATCCTTTTCACATGTATAGTGACTAAGCCCATTCTATAACTCTGCATTTTATTTCTGCCCTAAATGTAAAAAAAA